ATCGGATCCGAATTTTGCAATCCTTGAAGTAAACGGTCCCGTGGAGTTGTAAGAGAAGTTCAGGGTTTTAGTGGTGAGTAGATGTGTCAGAAATCGGCCAGTTGCGCTGATCATCGAATCGTGTTTTGATTCGTTATTCTTGTCGATCAGTTAAAAATAATAAGATCTGTCCCAACAACATTTCTCTACGTTCAAAACCAACCGAGATATCACGCTTCGAAAAGTCGGATTTTTGAGGACATCAACCGCGGTAGTCACACCCTTGGTTTCTTCCACCTTGCGTTCGTCAGTCGATTAGACGCACGTTTGCACTGGTTACTCGACGTAAAACTCGGATGAAAGCTGGGTGAAAGAAACCAAGGGTGTAGCTACCACGGTGGATGACGTCAAATGCCCGCCTTTTCGAAGCGTGATATCTCGGTTGGTATTGAACGAAGAGTGAGGTACTATGAGCAGGGAGTCAAAACGCCTTCAATTTTTTGAACGCAATGCGGACATCCGTCGAGGTTGTTTAGTTGTATCAAGGCGCCGTAGCGAACGCGTCCCATTGTTTTGCGTTACAGACGAATATACGTTCAGTTGAGAGAGGAAAGTCATAATGCCTTCAATTTTTACATACACATTTTTGGGCAAAATGAGAGACGACGTTTCTCCATTTGCGATGATGCAGACTTCCTTAGAAATTTTATAGTTTTTTTTCGAGAAGCTGGTCAACATAAAACTGAAATTCTCCATGATTTTTCGGATTCGATAGCAGAATATTTGGTTCAAAATTTAAAGTCGTAAATTTGAATTGTTTCTCTTGGAACAGATGAAATAAGAACGGAAATTTTGAAACACCGCAATGGAGAAACGTGGTTTCGCACTTCAGTCGGTGTGATACGGACATCCATCGAGTTTAAATAGTTGCATCAAGTCCCCGTCACCGCCGACCAACGCGTCTGTCGATCGAATCAACTACAGGTAGTGTGAGCAGGGAGTCAAAACGCCTTCAATTTTTTGAACGCAATACGGACATCCATCGAGGTTGCATAGTTGTATCAAGGCGCCGTAGCGAACGCGTCCCGTTGTTTATCGTTACAGACGAATATAACTTGAGAGAGGAAAGTCGTAATGCCTTCAATTTTATACATACATATTTTTGGGCAAAATGAGTGACGAGGTCTCTCCATTTGCGTCGTTGCGGACTTCCTTAGAAATTTTATTGTTTTTTTTTTTTTCGAGAAGCTGGTCAACATACATACATATCAAGCCGCTACCTCAGCGCACTAGAGCGCTCTACGACTCCAAATCGCCATCGGAATCGATCCTCCCACAAATCATCGGGCAGATTACACCGTCTGATCTCCCCCTCCACTCCCTCTCGCCAACCTTTTACTGGACGTCCACGCCGCCTTCTTCCGTGAGGAACCCAATCGAATACCTTTCTGGGCAACCTACTATCTGCCATTCTCCGCACATGTCCATACCAAACCAGCTGCCTGGTTTTGATATCGTGCACAATATCTTCCTCAACTCCCATTATTTCACGCACTCGTTCATTACGAACGCGAAGTTGTTGAAGCTGGTCAACATAACACTTAAATTCTCCATGATTTTTCGGATTCGATTAGAGGATTTGGTTCAAAATTTAAAGTCGTAAATTTGAATTGTTTCTCTTGGAACAGATGAAATAAGAACGGAAATTTTGAAACACCGCAATGGAGATACGTGGTTTCGCACTTCAGTCGGTGCGATACGGACATCCATCGAGTTTAAATAGTTGCATCAAGTCCCCGTCACCGCCGACCAACGCGTCTGTCGATCGAATCAACTACAGGTAGTGTGAGCAGGGAGTCAAAACGCCTTCAATTTTTTGAACGCAATACGGACATCCGTCGAGGTTGTATAGTTGTATCAAGGCGCCGCACGGTGGATCGAGTCAATGGGAGGGGTCGGTCATCGCGCATCACGCGTCTTATTCTCTCTGATTACGGAGATTTCCCACCCTTAGAATAGAGCAAATTATACTCATCTATAGTATTTTTCGTCGTAGATTCCATTTTTGATCATTTTTCAGCCGAATAACGAGTTTTAATACGAGTTTGACACACTTTTTCATGACTATTGAAATTGGGATCCTTGATAGCTGTTTTTTCACGTTACTTTCGGCGAATGGGACCGTAAGCATCTTACATAAAGAATAATTTTGCAGAACTTTACTCAAGGACATTACTTGAGGAGTGAGGGAGGGCGGCTTTATAGCCCCCTCACCACGAAGGTTGCCATATTTCTTTCAATTTCTGATAAAATCGTTTTTTGTTCATGTTAATTGGTTTCTCGCAATTGCATACTGACACATATACGGAACATTCTGATAATGTTCATTTTTCTTCTCTTTTCCTCCAGCCAGTCAATAGAAGTTTTCATTTTTATGAACTCTCTACTCTTTCAGTTATTCAACGAATATGCATATTTCAAAAAAAAGATCAATCTATTAAAGAAGTAAAAAAGAGATGTATATACTGTAGCTTCTTTTTATCGAGTCATCCTAGAAGAGTATTATAGGTACTTATCACTAGATAAAAAAAATTGAATGTGCAGGGAAAAAAAAAAATTATATCATTTTCCATTATTTCGTTTTGTTCCTTGATGTTTGGAGTGAAGTTTGAAACATATTTATTGAATAAATATTAAAATAGGAGGAAAATTATTTTTCATGCAAGTTCTGATCCCTTGAAGAACCTCTGAGAAGGACTATTGTCTCTTGAAGAAATTTCTTGTATTTCTTCTTTTTCAACCCACAACCAATTTTTACTTTTTCGCTACCCTAGGGTAGAGAAAGTATTGTCATCCTCCAAGGGGGGGGGGAGTTGAAATTTTATTTGTATGGAGCTCATAAAAGAGTTCTAGGTATGTTGAAGACATTTTGCAAGAAACGGGACGTGTGAAATATACAATGCGCAAAACATACACCTTAAACTTTATCGCACAGTATAACGCTGATCGAATCAACTTCAAAGACTAACAGAAGGTTAATGTCTCGTCCAAAAATATCAGCAAATAAGCCAAAATCAGTAATCAGTAGAAAAATTATCGAGATTGAAGGATATAGTGAGATGCACGATTTTATTGATGACAATAGAGCAAGATCGGATTCCCAGCAGGCGCGACTTCCTATCATTCAAATGGACCGTTTTCGCAGATTAGCGGATATTAGCGGCTAATTATTACATAATATCATTCCTGATAGTGTACAGGAGGCAACCCAACAAAGGATTTTGCGGACACTTGTGGACATTTTTTTATCGAGCTATTTTAACATTTTTTTGGGCGTTTTTTTTAAAGCAAGCTTTGGAGGTGGTTTTGGTCCTCCTAAAAATATGCCAATGCACATTAATGATATACCAAAATGTTCCTTAAAGGGAGGAGAATAAGCATATTTAATTGAAATTTTGATTTATCTGCCACAGAACTCATGCCAAACCGAAATAAAACCTTGAGAATTAGACAGCAAATTTGATACCACCTGCAATGTCAGCTTTAGGCAACCCGCATGTCAAAGCGGAAGGGTTCAAAGGTCCTAGAAACGTGGATACATTCATTTTGGAAGCTTAACTACTAGAAAACCAAGAAAAAATATTTAAAATCAGACTTTTTTTTCGTCGCCCATGACCGACCTCTACCATTGACTCGATCCACCGTGCGCCGTAGCGAACGCGTCCCATTGTTTATCGTTACAGACGAATATAAGTTGAGAGAGGAAAGTCGTAAAGCCTTCAATTTTATACATACATATTTTTGGGCAAAATGAGAGACGACGATTCTCCATTTGCGACGTTGCAGACTTCCTTAGAAATTTTATTGTTTTTTTTCGAAAAGCTGGTCAACATAATACTTAAATTCTCCATGATTTTTCGGATTCGATAGCAGAAGATTTGGTTCAAAATTTAAAGTCGTAAATTTGGATTGTTTCTCTTGGAACAGATGAAATAAGAACGGAAATTTTGAAACATCGCAATTTCGCGACCAACGCAAAATTTGAAAATTGGACTCATCTTCTTTAATTTATACAGCTGTAAAAATAAACAGGGATTTCCGCACAATTTCAAGGCAGTGCCAGGATAGATTTAAAACTTGTGCCTTCATATCTGAGTTCTGCCACTTTGGTTCTTTTGACCAAGGGCTAAGTCCTCGGAACCGAAAAGAACCTACTGAACTATTCGATTCGAACATTTAAAGTTTTTCTCTGTATGCTTTCCATCCAACTTCTGGATTACGGCTGTACTAGTGATTTCTTTTAAAAAATTAACAAAGACTGCTAAGTGATTGCAAGATTGTTTGTTTATTTAGATTTTGTGACATCTCTCAAATTGGATTCTCTGACGTTAGGTTTCGTTCCTTAATCAATCTATGAGTAACTTGAAATGTTGATAGTTCAATTTTATAAGTCTTAGGGTTAGAACTGAAAAATATTGATAATTGACGTGTCTATTTTAGAGATACTTGGATGAATGCGTAAAAATTGGCCTCCAGTACCCTCACGAAGAGTGACTACTATATATTATTTTGTATTGCATACTGGTTGGCAAAACAACTTGAAATGATTATTTAAAGGGATCTCAGAAAGCCTTGCTGCCTCTTATTCTGATTTTTTTTTTAAATTCTTGATTGTCCAGAAATAAAACTTAGTTTAATGTAATAAATACAAACATATATTTTTTTTAAAAAACGTAGAAGGTTGAATAAAACTTTTAACTATGGTGCCAAACCTGCAAAAAATAGTCTCAAAGCAGCAAAGAAACCATATATGGGACGATTCAGCAGCATAAGGATAGAAATTGAGATTAAGAGCAATATTTACTTGAATGTATGTTTCTATACATGCAATTAATCAATGTTTTAGCTAATTTCGATGGAAATTAAGATCACAGTCTTTACTAACCGTTAAGTTCAACTCGTAGATGTTTCGGGATGTACGTACTGTTCTATTGCAACATGGGAAAAAGTTTGAATACATATTCTATTGCAATCACCATTTATTTACTATACCTTGTCAGGATAAGAAAGAAAAGAAACATACATTAAAATTAAATTTTTATCTACCCTACTGTCCTCAGGGCATTGTGATTCATCTAATTTTTGGCACCCACAGCACTTTGAGACGATTGTTCTCTGAGAGTTGGGAACACGTAACACTACGAATTGCACACCCTTCTCAACATTTCAAAAATGCAAATGACAAATTGGGTCGGGTTAAATTTTACGTGTTTAATATTAAAAAGTCTTCTGAGCATTCTAGATCTCCTTAAAAACGTATCCTTTTTTAAGATATCATTGTCTTTGATAAGAAATCCAGACGAAAATGTATACTGGAAATGAAGTATCAAACATTGTACTTACAGTCTGGTAAAGCTTTCAGAGTTTCAAAGTTTTTGTTGTTATCAAATGCTGAGCATGGGGTTGGTGTAATTGAAAGGTCTTGAATTCTATCTAGACCATCTGCTGCATCATCCTGCAACATGAAAATTTGTACAAATATTCATCATTATTTTTTCTGATTATTGTCACCCAATAAAATAAATAAATGTGAGAGTCACTTGGTCACTGTGAAGTAGATCTTTACTTAAAAGTCTATTGCTAGTTTCAACATGCACATATCCAGTGTTCCAAACACTCTTCAGAGTTTTAGGAGCCATCTGGTCCATACACTTTAATTTTCAGGGGTCATTAACGATTTTTTAGGAGCCAAATTGAATTTTTTTCTACATATCACGGAAAACGTTTAGAGTGCAACTGCTTGCTTTACAGCTTCAGTCCCGAGTCGATTCACAAAAATCACCAATCAGAAAAATTGGGATTGCGACAATTTTTTAGGAGCCAATTTTTCAGGAGCATTCAGCACAATTGTATGTGTGGAACACTGAGCATATCAAGTTTTTTCAGATCAAATATATTTTAGGGATACTTCTGAGAGGGCAGAGGCTATTCACACAGAATTTCAGGCAAAAAATGCTAAGTTATTTTTCAAAACAGAGATAAAAAAATTAGTAGGAAATATCCAGTCACAAAACCGGCGATGTTACGTTTTAAACTTAATTATGCGTTTTTCTAGTTTCTCTATCGATACTTTCAGACTTCTACTCCCCTTTAAATTCCTACCCTGCTAAATCAGACCATTCTCTTCGAAATAAATTTATCATAACAAGCTCCGGCCAGGAGCTTGGCCAATTGGCCGGTAATAAAATAAACATTTGATACTGGAGAAGTTACTCACCGTATTTATATCTATGTGCAAAGGATTCGTCAATGATGATTCAGGATCCTTCGCTCTTTGAAGCAAAGTTTCATTCAAATTAGTTTGACTATTTTCTGAAACAAAAATACACAAACAACAAGAATAAAACTGTGAACTGTATACACACTTAGGTTTAAGATTTAAGCTCAGATTTGGAATATTCTCTGGGTAAACTTGCGGCAGAAGTAAAAATTTAAGAAATTAAAAAAATCCGACGAAGAAGATGTTTGATTCATAGGTGTAATCATTGAACTGAAAAACCTGGTTTCTTCACCTGTAGGCAAAAGTATCACAAGATCTATTTATGCTTAGACATTATGTTACCGGACATCTCAAAGTTGTTTTGATTTTTCCTTAAAAGCTTTTGCACACACTTCATGAAAATTTCAGGGATTAATCTTGATGACTTGATGAGGAAATATTAAATAACATTTTCAAGCGTTTTGTTCATCAGTTTTTATACAAAAAATTGAACAAGTTTGGCAACATAATGTTTAAGCACAAAGGACAAGTGACACTTGTAATACTTTGGCCAGAAGGTGATGATTTCAAAACGCAATTGTATAACTAGCGCTAATCATCACTTCCTAAAATTTCAGAAAAAATGGGCAAGGATGGAAAAAAGTAATTAAAAACTTACTTAAGCTTTCAATATATGTGTCCGGTACATCTGAGTAATTCCCTGAGTAGTCTTCATCCTCGTCATAACTTTCTGGAAAAATTAACGAAAACGTTCATGATGATAGGTTGCAATTATATGAAAAATCAAAATCACTAATGCAAATTGATAAAAAATTTAAAACTATTACTTTTGTAGATTATATTTAAACATTTAATAGATTTGCCTTTGTCCTTTGGAGATGACAGTCATAAGTAAGGCCCATGATTTTGACCCTGCAACAGGCACAAACTGCTCTTGAATAAAAGTATAATTTAACACATTTTTACTGATCTCCGGAGATTCACCGAATCAGAGTTATAATTTGAACGTTTGTTTTTGCTCAATGCTAATTCAATCCTACTGAAAATTTAATATTCAATTGTTTGCAATTTACTCTGCTTATTGTTACTGGCACTTGCAAGGCCCTCTAATCAAGCTTTTTTTCATTTTTAAAGACACAAGGTTGCTTTTTTTGTCTTCTTAAATTAAGAATAATGAGTGGCTGGTAACTTCATAAGTCTTACCAAAATCAGAATCCTCTGGATAAATAATTGGATCATCATATCCAGTGAAGAATGAGTTTAAAATCTTCATAATTCTTACGATTTCGTTCATAGAAGGTCTTAGATTTGGTGCTTGATCCCAGCATCTAAAAAAGAAGAATTGATTGGAAACAATAGAGAGAAAGTTAGTTCCTTTAAAGTTCAGGAGATTCATAAATTATAATTTCAAGTAAATTCATAAGATTTTTCACATTTTTCACCTAGATTCATGATAAAAGTATGAGCTTATGACTTAAATCGGATCCCTCTTTGTAGAAATTAATCTGCTTGTAGAGATTCATTAGAGGAAAATTGCACAAGGCGATAAAAAGCAATCATGATACTCTTTACATTACGCTTTTTTTTTTTCATTTTAAGAGTCTCTGATCAAAAGAATACTTCATCATTGAGTCAATGCTCAAAATAAATCTTTAGAAGTGATAAATTGAATATTTTTTGCTCGCTTTACAAACCTTGTCATCAAAGATTCAATGGGTTTCGGGCAATTTTCTATTAATGGTGGTCTCTTGCCAATGTGAACTGCCCACATTATACTGTAAGCTGATCTTCCTATATCGTCAAATGGCTTCTGTCTGCTTAAAACTTGCCACAAAATAATACCCCAACTAAAAACATCACATTTTTCGGTGTAATTGGAACCTGAAACAAATAGAATTATTTTGATTAAAATAGAAGTATGATTCATGAAAACTGCCAGACAAGTTTGACACTCTACTACCGAAAAAAAATTTCCGACAATCAAGTCTATTGAACTAACTTTGCATTAATTTAGCGCTATTATGCAAGAAGTTTACCATACATTCATTAAAAAAAGTTCATTTCTCACCTGAGGGACATTTTTACTATGTGGTTTTAGGGACTGTAACAGCCAGTATCCTGATTTTTCTGACCGAATTTCGTTAGATCTTAAGTGGAGAAGGAGAATGAGGTTCAATGATATTTCTGAGTGGTACAAAGTCTGTACATCTTATTCTCATGTTCAAGAATTTTACTGGGATCTTTTAAAAAAGTTTACAGACTTTTTAGGTGCTTTCTCCTGACCATAGAAAAATTCAAGTGGCCTGTCAGTTTTTCCATGGCTCACATCTAAAATACCTTGCTAACACTCACAAAATGGCTGTCCTCACAGACTTCACACTTGCTAACAGTACAACTCACACAATAACTGTTTCAATCAATCCGTATAATATAGCAAATTCTAGACAAATCATACATTTTCCGCACTTTCTCCAAATTTCGGAAATTGTTTTCAAATTTTCTGTCTTTCCAGGCTTACAGACACTGATTTATCATTTTTGATACCTGAGCAGCTGAACCAATATTTTTTTAAGGGCCCAAGTGCTGAAATCCAAGTTTTGAGAACAATTGAAAAAAGCAAGCAATTTGGCATGAACTTGTTTGTTACACAGATACATTTTATGGGTCTATAAGGTTGAACACATACAGAGTGGCAGTTTTTCCTGATTTTCTCAAAACTTGGATTTTGGCACTTAGGCAAAAATATCAATGCAGAAATTGGACCGTGAGCAGGATACGCATGAAATACAAACTTTTACTTTATTTCTCTTTCAAATTTCACACTAAGGACAAGAAAGAATGTTATGTGTACTTCTAACATTGATCAAATTCACAAGATGTGACATCATTCTTCCTTTTTAATAAGCCAGGCTTTTGACTAAAATAACTTTGAAAAATAATCAAATCTTGGTTTGCAGTCGGTTTCCCCGTAGCTTATATCCAACATTGTTTTATTTGTAATACGATGTCATAAATGAGAAATAAAAAATACAGATAATATACCTTCAAATACTTCTGGTGCCATCCATGCTGCGCTACCTTTATTGTTCGTCATGTAAGTTTTCAAATCACAGGCAGTACCAAAATCACAGATCTTCAAAATTTTCCCATTTTGCACTAACAATAAATTTGGAGGCTTCAGATCTCTGCAAAAACAATATCATCAGAAAAAAATTTTCTTCATGAATGCCAACATAATTATTTCGTCAGCTTTACAGGGCACAGTTGTTAAAAATAGTTTTTTTTAGTTGTATTGTGGCTGTATGAGAGAGCTGACAATGAGTAAACAAAATTTATTTACCTAGATCGATTTTACCGATTAGACAGAATTCAAATGGAGGGGTATAATAAATGCTATATTTCTGGAAAAGCTTCAACATGAAGGAATGGGTGAACTCAATTGGTTGCCTGACAAAGGGCAAGACAGAATACAATAAGCTAAGGAAAAATGCTGTATGAACATTCGAGAGTTGCCCAATTCCCTTTGATGAATGTTTATTTTCAGAGAGAGTTATGAATTTTTTTTTTCTTGAAACTTTCAGATAATTAAAAACTGACTGCAAAAAAAATTCTCTAAAATTGGAGGAAAAATATTCACAGATTCCCCTTAAAAATTTGTATTACATCAATGAAAATATGGCAACGCCTGAAGTTACTCTTCCTTTGCACGACAAAAAAGACCTTTATAGAAGTGATTCCTTCCATTAGTGAAATCTATGAAGACAGCCTTTGATCACCGGCGCATCAAAATATACCAAGTTTGCAACAGTGAACAATTGATGTCTTAAAATTGCTTCTGAAAACTATAACTTCCAGACCGCCCTTAAAAAATCAGTAGGTCTATTTCCATACTTTCCAGAAATTCCGGACTTGTAGACACCCTGGTATAGAGAAAAGGAATTACCTGTGAATGAGAGCCTTAGGTTTCATATTATGCAAATAAGCAACTCCTTCCGCACATTGCAGAGCCCAGTTCATTGCATGTCCAGCATTGTAAATTGGAGCTGGATGACTGTTATGTAAAACTGAAATGATTATGCAAGAAACTGCAATTAAAGGGGGCTTCAAAAGATGTTTATGATGCAAATAAATTGTCACATTGGAAATTTGATGTAACATTTTGGCAAGAGGGCTATTCAATTCCATTACCCACGTAGGATCAAAATAAATAAATAAATAAAAAAAAAAAAAAAAAAAAACATGAGGCATGTGCTTCAAGGTTTCAACAAAAATTCAACAAAAATTAAAGCATTTACAGATAGAACTGGGGCACTGCCTCCTAGACTGACTTAGACTGGTCAGTTTAGCGGCAAATTTTGGCAAGTGGATTTGATTCAAGTTTTGGACTTACTGCCAGCATCTATCAACAAAATAAAATTCCCTACGAGCGGCGATGCACCTACAACATTTGGTTTTCATGCTAGCAGCATTGATGACCACATACAAAATCCCCAACTCACCTCAAGAGGTGAGTTGAAAAGTGGACAGATGCTAACGTTGGCCAAAATTCATCAAGCAACTGAGTTAAGTTCTTGACTTTAGCAGAGCAGTCTTCTCTACTGGTTGGCAATCTTGCCAATCAGAAAAAAAACCTGCCTTAAAAATTCTAACAAATCCACTCGCAAAAATTCGCCTCAGGAGGTATTCAAGGCGGATAAAGAATGGCGGTCATATTTCGTACCCTCTTGACGTAAAAACTGCATCGGGTATGTTTTGGGTACATCCTGATTGCATGACAAAGCATGTACCCTCTGCGTCTCACAGCCTTTAAAATGGCGGCTCAACTCGAAATTCGACCACCTTTCTTTCTCCGCCTTGGGAGGTACTGACTGAGGAAAGAAAAAATGAGACAGATCTCACATCAAAGTGCAGCACCATTCAACATTGATTTATGTGGTAACTAATGAGCAAGCTAATGATTGATGCATTCAGGTTGATGTGGCATATGTCTCTTCTTTTCTTTCTCCGGTTCTAATACTGAATGATATTTATTGAATGGGGATGGACTGAGAATTTGTTTAAATATTTCACTATTGATCACACATAAGCATCACATTTTAATACTCACAATCATACAGGGAGCCTCCTTCGGCAAACTCCATAACAAGGCATACTGGATTGTTCGTACACGCACCGAACAGCTTGATGATATTTGGATGATGAACTCTAGACAGTTGCTTAACCTCAACGGTAAAAGCTTTCTTTTCTTTTTCGGCATTGATGTGCTTGACTGCTACGTAAGATCCTCGCCATTTCCCTTTCCATACTGTACCAAATGATCCCTCTCCAACAACCTGAAGGACACAAATAATATAAATTAATAGAAAAAGAATACAATTCCGCATCTCCTCCTTAGTCAGGAATCAATCAAACAGAGAAGGATATTTAAGATGGACTGGTGAATAAGTACCTACACAGCAAACAGTTGAATGCGCCGACTATTAAAAGGAAACATTAAAAATATGTTGAGAAAAAGTGTTGTTTGTGACTAATGCAATCCACCTCATGAATGAAACGATAAATTTTATAGGAAAATAGTTTAAAGTCTTGAGGTTCAGACTCCTGAAACATTCACTATAAAAAATAGACAGTGAAATGAGAATCTAAGAAGCTGTCTTGGCGAGAAAAATGAAAATTGTGATCCGAGCTGTTTCCAAGAATCTTAAAACATACCTGAATTGGCTCGATCTCACTGTAATCGATTTCTGTCACAAAGTTTTGAACATCAGTTAAGCACTCCTTGAGCTCCATAGGAACCAATATACATAATAAATCAAGAACTAAATGAAACTTGGAAACATATGCATTTAATAATTTATATTCCTGAGAAAAAAATCACTTGTCAATAAATGAAAACAATAAGGTGCACATGAGTTACGAGAAACCATGATTTCTTAAGTTGACATAATACTTCAAAACCATTGAAACGGAGAGGAAAACGAGGGAATAAAGTTAGATTCAATTAATTCATGGGGGAATCCAAGGGGGCACAAAAAACTGGAAAAACTGGTTTTCGTCTTTTCGTTCACTGATTTTCGTGTTGTTCGTGTTCGTGATATAACATAACCTAATTTATTTTGATTTGGTGTTCTGATTTCCGGTTCACATTCGGGATTTCCCATGAATTTCCGTGAACCGGAAGCAGGTCTTCGATTTGAATAAAGGCGGGATCACACACTAGATGATCTTTCCCCGGGTTCATTTTCTTACTCCATACAACAATATTATTTAGCATTAACTAAGTGTTTTTTCAAAGCTGACTAAACTATTTAGGATTCTAATGTTGGTAAACAATATCTAACCTAGGGTTGCGAAAGTTCCACAAAAAGACCCACAAAATAAACCTACCCCTCCCTCCCCTTCAACATTTGTAATGTTTCGTAGATGAGAAATTAACTTTTGAAATCTTCCAATTTTTTAAAAAGTTTTAAACTGTTAAACTTTTTTTATAGGTTTTCATTTTTCAAAAAAATTTTTAATCTCCAAATTTTGAAAAAAATTAAATATAGTGCAAAATCGCGATTCGTATAGTTCCAACTCAGCACAGAACCCACAGAACCTCGCTCAACGTAGTCTTGTTATAGTGCTTCCTTTCTACACACACTATACATGAACATTTGGTGATTTACCTATATCTGCCGAACGAGCATGTGCGCATGGTTGCTCTATTTTTGTTACGTTCATTGTTGTCTTATGATATTTTGTTTTAATTCTGATGAGATAAATATTCTATCTATCTATCAATCAATCAGATTTAAACTACCAATAAGACTTAAATTTGAGAAAATGATTGGCTTGTTTTGGAAACTTTCTCTTTTTAAAACAAAAATTTTGAATTCTCAAAAAGTCCGGATAAGATAGAATTTTTTCCAAAATTTTGCAGGGTGTGTTTTCTTAATGATACCACCATGAGGTTAAAAGTCAACCAAAGCAAATTTAGAATTGTACTAATTGGTGATTCGAGAGTAAGTATCACAAATTTATCAGTAAAGGTCTTCACCCACAAGAATAGAGATGTTGCCATAGAGTTAGGTTGGTGAATGTAGAATTGGCCATTGATCACTTAAGAAGTCGTAACAATTCCATAACACTAAATATCCGGTTTTTTATCATTCTGTGACGCGTTTTATTGCTACACTTTGAACCCTACAGCAAAATCACAATGCTCCTTCCTATTCTTTAAATTTGCTAAAAAAAATTAAGTTTACTTGAGTTAGTTGACAGTACTTAGTTGCTCAAAGGAATAAAATGGAAAAATTACTGCAGTTGAGAAACCAAAACGAGAGTAGACATATGTATAATTTTCTAGTTTATTAATAAAAAGTTACATAAAATTACACACATACAAGTTCATTACATACACAATTTTTGAACACTTTCACTCCTTTTGTAATGATAGCAAGGACACTCAATGTGCTAGGTGATTTGCACTCTCATCGTCCTGAAATTTAGGCGCTTATTGAAGGATCGATCATTCTCCCCAATTCAAAAAATCATACGGACCCATTTCATACAGTGTATGCTGTACTCAATCCCATTGCTGCACCAAAATGTTTCTGAAGAGTAAACAACCCTACTTGGAATATCAAAGAATTCAGCTCTGGCTCAACTTTGTAGTTATTTCATTTGATTGTCTGAGCAACTTCCTGAGCACAATAAGATTTTAAAATCGGACTTTATGTGTGTCAAAGTTGAGAGAAGTGAGGCTGTAAAGTGAATTTTTCGGTCGTCTTACTGCTTTGTCTGAGTGGACACTGAAATTTCAGTGGACCATCGGTTAAGTCACCGAAATGTAGATCCTTCAAAGTAACAATAAAACTGTAGGACCAAAATGAGCAGAAAATTCCTGAATTTCTATTAAAATCAGGAAACAATGATCTTCATTAATTTTTCGTTGGTTGGTGAAACTTCAATTAAATTGAAAATTTACAACAAAATGTGCTCCAGTTATAAAAATTACTCTATTTACATTCATTCGATTGCTTGGAATTTCATGTGTCAGGGATTTTTTCCCAATTTTATGCCTGGGAATATCTGTTATAATAATTCAGCTATTGTCGCAGTTTAGGAGAGCTCTTGCAAAAAAAAAATTTAGGCAGTGATAACAAAGTAAAAACTACGGCTTTTTTGCTGATTTATCTTTGATGGAGTATTTTTCATAGGTTTTGGTCGGATCATAAGGCTCCCACCGACTTGCAGGGAATATGTGCTTGTTCCGCTCGTACCAACTTCTTAGTAAAACTTTTCCAGCATGCGAGTCTTCCTTTTCCACACTAGCATCACTCATCATTCTGATATCATCATGAACATCAAACGTAAATAAGGGGCCACTCTTTCCTCTTGCCTGAAAAAGAGGGTAAATAAAAATTAGTCAAAAGAACTGGGTGTAAGAGTTTTATTGAGATGGAAGAGGAAAACATGGGATCAGTTTTTAAGCCTCTTTAATTTCAAAGATTAAAGTAAGCCATGGGCTAGCTACAACAAACTTTTCCTGACTAGTTTTGTTGTATATTAGGCTGTCAAGAGACTTTCGTTCGTTCACATTTTTGTTTAAGGGCCAAAATGTACATGTGAGCGTATCAAAGTTTCAGACAAAAGGGTAAACACCCCTCGGTTAATTAATACTGATCACTTGAGGAGTGCACTCAGCAGAGCCAAATCAACTCCTTCGGCTCATTTTCAGAAACAACCTATCTACCACTGATTTCTCTATTAACATAGGTGCAGACTTTTAAAAAACACGTTCATGTACTTAGTTCTTTTTTACTACACTTTGTTGATAAGCACCTCCAATTTCCCTTCTCAAGAAAAGTGCTGCCCATGAGATGCTCTAGTTGTTTCAAAATTGGATAGAGTTAAGCAAAACAGTCACATCTCTGTTGCAGAGTTTCAAAATCTCGACTTCTATTTGATTTTTTGGAAGGAAACCTATTGGAGGAATCTGAAGATTGGTATTATACAAGTTACATTTGACAATGTTAGAGTTGTACGATTTTTTCCATCAGATTGGAACGGACTTACATCTACAATTAGAAACTGCAGTTTGTAAAATGCCATCATATTTGCCCAATCCAATGTTCAATCAGTTTAGAAGCCAATGGCGCTGTAATTGGATGCTTTTAATGTTTCATCTCCATCCAGTTGCTGCCTCGACACAGGATGGTGACAGAGCACTAGGGCAGGGCACCGTTGGCAAATTTTCTGGCGAGTTTGTAAGCAAAAGGCATGTTGATAGCCTAGCAGGTTATTACGCAAATTAAATCTATATCGTTGACAGGAAATTGAATCTTGTCACAGAATACTCATTAATTCATTTTATTAGAATTACATGTTTATAAAGGAATCCTTACCTTGGTGACAATGAAATCATAGAAAGTGTAGTGATGAGGGAGAATGAGATCTTCTTTCACATACATTAGCTGATCTGCTGTTACAGTTTTCAATTCACTGAATTCTTTCCTTAGAAGCTCCAAACATCTCTGAAGGAACTGATAGACAGAATTACCTGCAAAATAAATGCAACATTCAACATTACATTACGACCAAGCTAGCATCACGAAAACGAAAAATAAACATTACGTTTGAAATAATGTGTTCAGGATAGTTGGAGAGACGTACACATACATTGAATACAGTATAAAGCTACACACAAAGTGGGACTATAGCTTCACTCATACACATTCATCACTGGAAAGAGTGTTTTAACTTCATCATGCACCAAATACAGCTGAAAATGAAGATTTGTCATCAAGGGGCACTGGTTGAAGGTGGTGGCTAAAAAATTGGTGCAACCTGATTCTTGTTGCATCTTCACTTGTTGCAAAATCTCATGTTGAATTATACAAAATCTTCATCATTTTTATAGAATTGGGAAGGCTCTGGAATTTTGGGGGTAAAGTTAGAGTTTGAGTGGGTATTTTACGCCTTGCCTCCACGGGACGTTTCATGGGATTTGTCCCAAGTTCGAATCGCAGGAATGAAACTTCTGGGCTTCTTCTCCGTTCAACAAAACAACAAAATTTCTACTCCTCTCTGAGTCTCTTTTAGGACCCCACAAGGGCTCTGCTTGGTACTGCAATTAGTATTGACTAACTCAATATTTTTCCCAACTTCGCAAGTGAGTTTTTTCCCTGGGATAAATCCTATGAAACGTCTCGTGGAGACATGGCCTAAGAGAATTTCAGATGATTGAGAATAATTCAATGACAGTTACACTTGAAGCTCATCGAGAAATAATGCAGTAATGTACACAAAAAAGGGTAAATGATTGAGGTCAGATTTCTGTGATTAGACTGAATTGGAGAAAAACAAGCAGGAGCGGACAAACAGATGAAAATACCAGGAAAATCCTTGTGGTTTGACCAATAGGTACGTGGGGGAATTTTTTGCTGGTTTGTCTCTCTCACTCAGAAAAAAGAAAAAATAATAAATGAGCTAGTGTTCTCAGTTACTTTTTTGGTCTCAGTTCACTCCTGAGGACACAATAATTCTACTTTGATTTTTAGTGGAGGGATAATACAAAATTATACCCATAACGACCGCCAAAATTTTTTTTTGTAAAATGATTGAAGATTCTTACCTTTTTTCATTCTAAGTGTTTTACGATGTCCAGAGCCATCCCAGTAGCTGAATGTGATCTCTATTTCTTCTTCCTTTAGAGAAGACTGCTTAGCTGCCCATTCCTGAATGAAGAAATTAACACCAAAAGCTACAGATTTTAAAAATATTATGAAATTAAAACAAAAATGTCTTTTCATTTTGGCTCTCTACAAGCAACTGAAGAACCACTTTTCAAAAATTAGTCTAAAGAAACTTTTACAGACTCCTTAAATGTTTGAAAATGAAACTTTGTTGCATGAAATTCTTAAAAAGAAAATTTTCTACTTTTCTTAAAATGAATTTTCATGCTTTAGGGTGATAATTAGATTTTTGTTGGACTAAAAAATAATCGGATTTCCTGTTAAAAGGGGAACGGATATCAGGATTTCGGCTGAAGTTGATGGTTTTACAGACCAACCAGACCGACATGAAAACAATCTGGAGAATGTCCAATAGGATGTGTAGATATGAATAACTGAGTGCCTATCACGCATGCATCCTGATTTTTTAAACGATTTCTGGCTTTGTCAACAAGATAAGACAAGACATAGCTCTATCTGAGTCTAGCAATATGTTGATTTTCAATGTCTTGTTGTGCTGATATCAAGAACTACGCACACAATACCAAGGAATTTGGCGCTGGCTACATTTTTATTTTATTTGATATGATGTTCTATACAGCCTTCTGAATATGATGAAATTTGAAAATCAAACTTTCCACGTGCCAATCTTGTGAAAAGCAGGGTTGAAAAATGAATTATTCGGAATGTTTGAACAACTGATTGAAGATCTTTTGTTTCCTCACAGGCCGGAAAAATAAAACAGACGAAAAGAATCAAATTCCTCTGGACAATAAGAGCATGCAGCATCCACACACACAGCAACAGTCCCACATTTTCATTGGACAACGCCAAAAAATTATCCTTTCAGCCCTGCTTTACTTCAGCGTGGCACATAGAAAGTTCCATTCTAAAAGCTCATGATGCTTGTGAGGTTGTGAGGACTTTGAAGCCTAAATAGGATGTGCACTTTACTACTGGCAAACAGCCGAGTTGGAGAAGACAGAAATCAGCCCTTCTCTGCTCTCATCTTGGGCTACTAAATTAGTCAAAATTATTTCAGAGGTTTTTATCTTCTTTGATAAGATTTTTTTTTTAAGACTCAACATTTACAAATGGACAACTTAATAGCCTGATTAAACGATTAACAGAATTTCTTACAGGCACAAAACATCTTGTGAGATATTCTTACCTGTCTCAATTCTTCTCGCAGTCTATTTTCTTCTTCCTCTCTTTCTCGATCTGGCAGAAAACTGGTGTCTACATCTGGATTTTTTCTTATCTTCTTTACAGGGCACAAAAATTCTCCTTCATCATCAGATCCAGACTGAGGCTCTTCTTTGATTTTTTCAGTTCTCTCAATCTCTGCACTTTCACCGCTGCCTTCCGCCTCTGGCTCTTTCTTAATGCAAACTGAAGTCTCAGCTTCTTCTTCATCTTCTTCGCCTTCCTCTTCTTCCTCGTCTAACGTGAAAGATAAAGCTGCTATCTGTGCCACAACTCAAACAACATCTCAAAATTAAAACATTGATCAAATTTCACACCTGTCAGAGAACTGATTTAGAACTCATTTTTGCTGCAGACAACAACATGTATTAAATTTTTCAGACTTGACTTTTCAGACTTTTCAAGAATTCAGTTACAATGTCAATATGATAAAAGCGAAAAGTGATAAAAAATGTGCTTCGTTTGATTGTATATATTACATTGTACTTTCTCTTAATTCATTCCGAGAGAGTTACAATATTTGGCATAGATTATTATTCTTTTCAAGGTTAAAGAAAAATTTCCAATGCTTCTCTTACAAATAAAACATCTTTTTAAAAATGGTGAAACCAAAATACCTGTGATTTTTGTCGATTTTTTTCTGCTTGCTTCTCTTCAAGCTGTCTTTGCTTTTCCTTCTCCTTTTCTGCAATTTTTTGGGCCAACTTCTTTTCTCTTTCTTTCACTATGTTTTCCTGTTTCGCTTTCATCTCATCCAAAGTCACAAGACCTATTGTAGAGCTCTAAAGAGGAAGGGTGGAAAAAAATGAATGAACAAATGAAAATATTAAATAAGATAGAAGTTGAAATTTCCTTAGTATTCTTAGATGTTTTGAGAAACCAAGAAATTCTTCTAATTTGCAAAATGGTACGCTTTGTACCATATACATGATAGTTAGAGATTAAATGATACAAATAATTATACACTGATGTGGGAATGGATGGAAAGTAACTTATGGTTTTCGAGGAAAAAAAGAGACTTTTTAGGAATGAAACTATGCTCATGACTATGCAATGTTAAGAAAAATACACATTCACACAGCTAAACTGCATGAAGGAAAGTGGAATATCGATTGATTACCTACATCCAGGTATTCAGGGGTGCAAAAAATGCCTGATCTACCGATGATGAAAAACAAATCTTGGGGCGCGAAGAAATTTTCAAATATTATTACCTTATTATCATTTTATTTGTTGCTTTTTTCTCTACATTTTCAAGGGCAAAATGGGGCAGATCGCATATTCTGCCATGATATTGGGTTACTTGCCATAAAAATTGAGAATTTTTTGTCATGCAAATTATATGTTTAGCCATGAGGGGAAAATGCCTCATAACAGCAAACGTCCAGCACTTAGGAACATTTATTCCACAATGCGCACTCATATACCATAAACTTAAAGTTTGGGAAAAAGCTCTGTACTTGAGTTAATTTTTTTGGTGAAGTTCATATGAAAATTTATGTCTAGGTTCAGATGTTCGGGCTTCAACATATCGGTGGACAGCTGGACTAACGCCGTTACTCACCTTCAGTTGCTGCTCAACAGCATCATAGTGGGCGGCAAATTTGTTTTCAATTTTGGTCAACTTCAAGTCTTCTTCAATTTTCTTCTTCCGATATTCAATCTCCATTTGAGCTTTCTCTCTTTTCTTCATTAAGTGCATGGCTCTGCCAGCTTCACTTGCTTTTCCCTTGTAGTGAGCCATTCTGGGTTGATAAGATTAGTTGAAGGCGAGGAGCAAAGTAACGTTATGTACAACTGAGCACGTAAAAAATTCCCTTTTTCACACCTTAACTTAAACTTAAGAAAATTGTATAAATTCGATGAGAGAAAGAGAAAAAGAAAAGATATGAAATTCAAGCGACTGCAAAGGAACTATGATAAATATCAACATAACCTACAAATTTTTCATTTTTGTTGTTGTTTTTACACATTGTTGCCAAATGTTTCGTCCCCTTTTTTTAGAAAGGAAGTTTGGCTTCATTGTAAACAAATGTAAACAAAAACAAAAAGTTTGAACTTTTCCGCCAAAACTTTCTGCAGCCGGAACACAACACAAAGAGAGTTTGAGTTTTTATATAAATCAGAACATTATTTAAAGTGATCGAGGTATGTATTTAACTGATAAGTTTTCTTACTTTCCAAACTCATTTTTACCATTTTAACATCAGTGCTTTGGGAACAGTCAGTGCTCAGCGAAAGCTGCAAAACTCATCCATCGCAAAAATTGCTTATCCTTTCCTCCCATTATTCTGCTGCCTCCTTCGATTTGTTCAGTCATTTTGTGGGGAACGAGTCCCGCCTCTATGGTCCCTACATATCAGAAATGCCCTCAGTCTTGTCACGATACCGCAATGTGTAGCGTAGACTGAGGTGTTTCTGATAGGGACGGAGAAAAAGGACTTTTTGGGAAGAGGTGGTGGCTGCAAGAGGTGATGAAAGGAAAAACAAAGATTTTCCTTTTGACGAGTTGGACAGGTCACCCTTGAGAGGGAGAAAAAACGGGGCGAAAGCGCAGGCGATGCCACAGCTCCCTTCGGCACGAATTTCCAAAACACTCTGCCCGAACTCTCTCGACCCCGCGATGCGGCGTCCACTGATCGCGAATCCATGTGAATCTGTATCAGCAAAAAAAGATGAAGAGTAGCGTTGTCTAATATCCTCCTAAAATTGAAAGAATTTATGGCGGATATTCGGAAACAAATACTTCTCCGACAATTTGACTTCAGATTATGGTGATTAACTACTTATCGTAGTAGTTATATGTAAGATTTCCATTGGGATTCATCTTAGGAATTGTCCATGGAAGGCAGTGGACTGGGTACCTGCAGAGCTCCACCATAGCAGTGGACCAAGTTAAAAAAGTAACGCGGACTACCTCAATTCTCCACGCTTCGTTTATTGAAAGAATCCTCACAGGAAAACACCTCATCAACGAGTCCCTCTCTATAAAAATGAATAGATTGGCCCAAGTCTGTGGCCAGGTAGCGCTGATACCCGCCTCTTTTGATTCCATCAAAGTATCATGATGCTTGGCTATTAAGTATGTTAAAAATTGTAAAATCTATGCACGCAATTCGCCATTAATGCTCAATACTGTATTTCCAATAAGCTCTACAGTTTAGCACCAACTATTGATGCTATTAGTGGTACATCACAGGAAGGCGATGTACTTACTTCAATTGATTCTCATTGGTAGCATTGAAAGAAGTAATATGTATCATTGTCATTTTAGATCCAAACAGCAAGTCTGGTATGGTCATGTTCAACGAATGGCGGATGGCAGATTGTCTAAGAAGGTACTAAACCGAACTCCTTCTGGAAGAAGACGTACCAGGACGCCCAGTGAAATCGTGGATATGTGCCATTCACAATGAAATTACAAGGTGCAATTTACTAGATGGCCTCTGGGTCGATAGACAAGAATGGCGATTAGGTGTCGCAAAGCGCCCGGGCGCGAGCAACTTGTATACAATTACGATGGAAAATACTGTGATTTCCTGTGCTACCTACATTACAAGAACATTGTAATTTGCTTGAGCCATTTTTTGGGTATGACATCTGTACGCCAATCATTTGGCAAGTCAAGACGAGATAGCCCTATTTGCACCATGCAGTGTATTGGATTTTTTCTGTCTTTTTGTGCCGACATCAAATTTCGGTTATCAGGCTGCTGATATTATCAGTGGGTTGTTCTGATCTCATGCTCTCTGGTGACGGAGCTATATCTCAAAGCTAATGCTCTCAGACTGTTACCTTAGAGATCCCAATCATCATGTTTGGTGTCATGTTGAAACCAGCATGTCTATAAAAGTACTCTAGAGACCAGCAAAGTAACATGTGTTTTTCATTCTGTTTTTTGCAGATGAAGTGCTCCTTTTTCAGCACCCCTGATTGTCTTCAGACCATTGATGAGGATATAAGGGAATTTAAGAAAAAATTTGGTAATTTTACTACTCACAAGGCAGAAACATTGCTACTAGAAATAATTGAAACACTGGATTTTTTCTCTTCAGATGATAATAGTAAAATTGGTAAGTGGCAGCAGTAAGAGTAATAGCAATTTAGTGGTATGAGTAGTACGCAGTAAAAGTAATAGTAGTAATAGTATTAGTAGTAGTTAGTAGTAATAAGACCTCCGCACTCTGGCTGATTTTCAGTCAAAAATGGTACTCCCTGTGCGCTTCCATGCTCAGGGTGATAGCGTATTAGTATGGAACTCTTTGAAAGATGTCAGATGAGACTTACTTATGATGTCTGTAGGATTTACTATGTATGTATCAATGTATTCTACAAACAGATGCTCTTATTTTATTGAGTAGCTTGTTTTTGCACTTCAAGCTTCCGAGTTCTGTTGGATACCCATTGTTATCCACTGAAAATAATTGCATTTTCTAAAACGTTAACAATTCAAAAATACAGACTGTTGATTTACCTCTTTATACATCATTAACTAAGAGGATTTTACAAAAAATAAAGGAGTGCCAACCCCCTGAAGAGCTATTGGAAGATAGGGGACTGTGGCGGCTATGTTTTGATGTATGTGTACATTATTGATTTTTATTTTATAATTCTTCGATTGATTTTGTCCTAAGTTGTTCAGATCCGGTTCTCAATTTATGTTATATTTGTTCTAAGGAACTTTACTGAAGTTAAAGGAGACGGTTGAGGCTCTGGAAAATGAAATCAAGGAAGAGTACTCAGGTGATGGCTCTCTAGAAAATTTTGTAGCAATGGAGAAGGAGATTAAATACATGGCCAAAACTTGCTCAGATCTTCAGCGGGAACGGAAGGAGCTCCAAGAAGATATTGAGAAATTAAATTCTTTATGGACCCAAAAAAATGTTGGTAAGTAACAAGTCCAGATTCGGCTGAATGCTATCCCTATTTATGGATTCTGAGAGATCTATTGGTGACCTGTGCACAACATAAATAATCTTGAAACCTTTTCTCAAAGTAACTGTTTAGAGACTAGAGGGAGAGTAAAGTAACTTCCAAATTCATAAATCCTTTAAATGTAGAACTTTTCTTTCTATTACTCAAGAGAGTTGTAAAAACTTCTTAATCGCTCGACCAGCAGGTTGCTATCAGTTGCTGGCAAAAATAGAAAGGCCCTTATAACAGGTTTTGAAAATGGGTAGGTTGGACCGAACTAGCTTAAAAATTACATATTTTGTGTCATGTCAGGGTGGAAATCGCGTCTTTTTTGTAAAATGGCAATGAAAATTTCACACATCGCGGCAAATTGCGATTGTTTGTAGTTTTTTTTTTTTAAGAGTTTATTTATTGTAACCTTCCTAGGAGGAGGAATTATGTACAATTATCTTAATGTATGTACATAAGGGTATATGAAAGTAATAACTGGATAATTACTTATTTCTATAATGATCTGTTTGTACTGAAATGGAAAAAAAACGGCTCATGACGTTGAAATTCTTTTCGAGAGAGGGGTTTTTCCAGAAGAAAAGATTTTTTGAAAAATGGGAGGGCTAAGAACACTCTACATCCCTGTTACTCAGCACACAATAAACAAGAAGTAGAAAAGAACAGAAATTGTCTTACATCTTGTCACTTAGGAACTTTCAATTTGGATGGTTGTGCACATGTTCTAACAAATGAATAGAACCTCATGAAGTTTTCTAGAATTTTGCTTCTGGAAATTTTACTATGGCATTAATTGTAAACTTTGTTTTTATTTTCAGAAATGGACGAAACACGAGACAAGGTGATGGACAAGTTCAACCTATTAGAACAAATTACCAAACTATATGAGAAGCACCTTGGTGTTTTTTTGTGTCCTGTAGGTGATAGCTCTTTCCGATTGATGTTTAATAATGATCTAAAACAACCTATGTTCATCAATTTGAAGTATGAAAATGGTTTGATCAAAGGTAAATAGAATATCATGTTATATTTGAATTATTCAGCTGCAGGGAAAGTAAAACTAAGTCTGTTTGAAGTGAAATCAGTAACATATAGGGCCAGTAATGTTAATAATTACAAAATCTTGCTTTGATGGTGAAATCATGTGGGTCAGCTAAAAATGATGATTTTTTCAAACTCCAAGCCAGTGGGTCTGGCTTTGACAGAGACCTTAGTCTTGAAAAACATGTTGTATGTCATCCCCATAATTATGTAGGCAATTATTTGTTCCCGCTCTGTTAGATCTATGATAAATGTAGAAGTATCACCCCAATTTGCTCTAGAGTACCTGTATAGCGAGAGTATGGACAGATTGCTCCATGGAGGGCTTAGGGCCCAAAAGTGCAGCCACCCTTCTAACCAACTTCTAACGCACGAAATTTCACTGCCAGTCTGTAGATTCCAATCCTAACCAAGATGGCTAAGAAAGTACATAAATGAGCTTTCTTCCGCAAAAATGAGTAAATTTATGCAAAAACTAAGTCAAATTCGTGCTTTATAAACGATGGTTCGTAACAATTGTATTAATAAATCGCTCTGGATAATTGAAATTCATAGGTTGGCTGCATTTCTGGGCCCTAACTTTATTCGCGAAGGCATCGGTGAAGGCCTGATGGATTTTCGGAGTTTCACATCTGTCTATACTCTCGCTATGCAGGTACTCTAATTTGCTCATCCGTGGAAGAGGAAAAAACCACAAAGGTTATACTGTATGCGATGGATGACTTGAATCACCGAGTTTTTCCAAAGGCAGTAACTAACTTGATTTATATTCAAACTAGAAACTGGGGTTTTGATAGATCTCATTATTTTTCTCCTATAATTTCTAGAAACTAAGATACGATCCTATCCTAATGGCATTTCGACGGTGAAACTACCAGACCACGTATCTCGTTTGCGGTATGTAAAAATCTCTGCTTTCATTTTATTTTTTTGAAGGAGAAAAAAATCAATATAATTTCTTGAAATTTTCACAGAGTTTTTTTCCGGAAATAGAAGAAAAAACACGGAAGATTTCGAGAATTGACGTTGACTAGTTTTCCATTTATAAAATAAAGTATGACAGAAAGTCTACAACGCCGCAAATCGAGATACATGGTCTGGCAGTTTCACCGTCGATTTGCCTTTTATAATTGAAACTCACCACTGAGACTCAACAATACTGAATACTCGAAATTTCTAAAAAGAAGACTTTACTGTATCCCAGGACTCCTCTGGAAAGCTAAGTAATGATTTTTCCTCTTACAGTTTACCATACTGCTGACCATGAATCTTGCATGAATTATGATTTTCCTAAGACTGGATAGGTGCTTAGGCTATGAAAGATTTATTTCTGTAAGAAAAAACAAATTTAGTTTTTCATGCGCTGAGATTAGAACCTTTAATACAGGGTGGACTAGACCACTAGTACCAGGTTTTTTTCTCGATTATTTTAGGTCAAAGTCAAGGACAGCAGCATCGAATAAAGGATTGACCCCAAAGAATGCAAAATTAATCATCCCAAAATCCTGTTTGTCTCCTTCGAGTATAAGATGGGATCTTTACTCTTGAAAATTAGAGTCCCATCATACATTTGATTTATCATAATCAAGAAATATAGAAAATTTATATTAAATCAACATTAAATAGTCCAAAATCGATCCATCCCTGTCCGAAATACTGACTCCTGAAGATGGGGAACAGAGCTCTCCTTAATAAAATGCTCAATCACTAAATCTACAAAGTCGCCTCGGACATAGGTATTTTCACAGGCTATCAATTCCAAAGAATTCCGGATCTGACCATCTCAAAGCCGCCCGGAGGGTTTCCTCTACCTCATCACTAATGCCTCAAGGGGCTTACGAACCATCAGATTTGGATTTCTTGGGGTCGATTACTTGTGAAAACACCCTTTTCCCAGGTATCTTTGTCAATTAAGATGCTCCTCTTACTCTCAAAGGGGAACAGAGGTACCATGGGATGATGAAGTTTGGATTCCTTGGAGTCAATTCCCTAGTTCATTCCTGGGCAAAGAAACGTATCCACATTTCAAAATTGCCAAATTTCACTTCACAATTTTTATTTTACTTACCTAAATACTATTGGATGTTTTTTTATTGAAAATTGCACACATTTTTCCATGGATTGTCCTAAAAAATGAGCAATTTTTAAACAGAAATTGTGCGGATATTTTGTAAGTGAAATAATGAATTGTGTGGGTAGATTTTGCAATCACAGAATGGAGATGTCCTCCTTTATCTGGAAAATAACGATTTGTGCTGGGAATCTCGACTTTGTCTAACCTAAAATAATTGAGAGAAAAGCCTGGTGCTGGTGATCTGGGCCATCTTGTAGATCCTACCATCACCACCTCGACCCTACCACCTACCATCTTACCCTGTACCATCCTACTCATGAAGTTTGTGTTTTTTATGGCTTTAGAGCATTACTAATTGCATTATTTTATGTCTGTTTTAGTCGTAAATGTTAATACGAGCACCCAGGACAAAGAAGCCATTGTGAAAAAAGTTAAATCCTCTACAGATTATCAAGGCCTTTTATCTGTGATGGATTCTTACAGGAAGTAAGAATTTGGTCAGGTAAGATAATGTGAAGATAGTGCTTTTTATTGATTTACTCAGGGTTTCAAAAAGGGCAGTGCACTGAATATCCAGAAATTTGGCGCCTGCTTTGTTTTGGTATTATTTGATACGATGTTCGTTACGGCCTTCTAAATATGTTGAGCTTTTAAAATCTGACTTTTGTCAAGGTCGAGAAAAGCAGGGCAGAGAACTGAATTTATTGGCTTTCCTACATGTGTTTTCTAACGAAATTGTGGAGCTTTTGCCAAGTGAGAAAAAAAATTAAATTCAATGGAATAGAAGTTCAACCGGTCAATTTATTTCTACTTAAAAAAAAGGGCACAGCTTGATCTTATCAAGTCCTATTAGCCGGACTAAATTGCATCATTTTACTCACTGCCAGTATGTGCTTCTATTTGTAATTTATATTTCATAATTCTTTTAATTTTAATTTTGCACTCTTTGATGTATGATTGAAGATATTTTAATTTTGCCTTTTGAGTGCTTAAAACTATATTTTTTACTCTAAATCCAATTTCGGGGTGTAAAAATAATATTTTGCTGGTTAAATTAAATTAATTATGTAGTTGCATGCGCATTGTATGATCTGTTGTACCTGAGCTTTTTGAAAAAATTAAGAAGCTAACTTTGTTGCGATTGTAAGCAATTGTGAATATCATAGGAGATTATTAATCTTTTAAACTCATGTTCAGACTTTTTTTAATCAGTTGTCAACTGCATATCTGCTCTGTTTTCCACTCAATAAATTATTAATTTTTTTAAAATATTCTTTTGACTGGCCATTCTTGCTCCTACAGTTCATGCAATTGAATGGTAAAATGTTAAACTTTACAAAGTTAAAGATATTTTGTCCCCCCTAATTGATAGCAAATTCAGGTTTTAGTGAAGTGAGGATATTAGTTGTAACCATCTTAGTGCTCAAAATGTAGAACTTAACTCCAGGTATTGGCTTCCTTTTTTTCAGATGTTATTTATCAAGCATTTTAGCACAAAACCGCCCAAAAAGTTTCTGTCAAATCGGATTCTGGCGATTTAAAATATTCAGTCCAGAAATTATAATTTTGCGTGAAAGCAATTTAAAGATTTCATCTGCCGAGTCTGAGTTCAAAATCATTTGATTAAAACACAACTTAATACCTTCTACTGGTAGTCATAAAAGTGAACCAAACCGTTCGCAACTTACTTTCAGGGGGACTAAAAAGTCCAGAGTCTCCAGCGATCTGGAAAACCAGAGAATTCATGGAGAAAGTCAGGGAATTTTGAGAGAATGTAGGCTTAGTGATGGAGCTATACCTTTTGAGAGAGTGCGAATAACTTCTAAGTGCCTTTGACCATAATTTGAGCCCCTAGAAGTGGAAATTACGTCCAAAGTTTAGAAAAAGTCACTGTGATCAACCGGAAACAACCTCAGTGAAAGTTTTATGCGGAGCTCACGGAAAGTTAGAAAATTAGGAACTTTGGAGTCAGGGAAGTAGAAAATGAAGAATTATTGAAACCTCGGAGAGTATTCAACATAAAAATTCAAATTCTCTGTCATAATGCTAAATTTACTTTTAATGGATCTCCTCTAATAGTTTACCTCTACACAATAACATTTGCTTTTTTTTTTATGGTCACACTTAAAAATTGTAGAAGCATTTTCATTATAAGGTATCAATGATATCAAGTACTCCCACTGCCTTAATTTTCAAATACAGGATTTTTATCCGATAATTAATGAAATAAAATGGAGTAGTTTGTAACAAAAATTTTATTTAAGTCCATCAACCACCAGTTCTGGTACCTTAAATATACAAAATTTAAACAGTAAACTTAACGGTAGACAACCATCGTTGCAAGTAATACAATCAAAGGGATAAAAGTTTCTTAAGTTCATTAAAAGTTGGTAACAATGATTTCCCACCTTAATATGTGGTGATAACATCAGAATAAATTTTGAAAAATGATAACAATTTTTTTTTTGACTAGTTCAACCTTAGCACCCTTTTCCTGATTAAAATATATCCAGCCAAACCATTAAGTAGAGTTCCCCCTTAAAAAAAAAACAACAATACTTAGAGGCCGTGAAAGGGTCCCTTCAGGAACTCAATTAAGTACTTGCTATACTTAGTTTTAGCATTTCGAATTACATTTCGAAAAGAAAAACAGAGGTTCTACAACGTAAAAGAATTTCGGAGATGTGTTCTCTGCTGTATGAGTTCATAACTACAAAATCGATATCTAATGAAATATTGATTAAGGTGAAGAGTCCCTTGATCTAATCACGGTCAATCTGACGTTTGGAAAGACAATGTTTGAATTTAATGCTCAAAAAAGGGGAGAGCCAGAGTTCAAAATTTGCCCAGATTTGTGACCTAATTAAATGGATACGACTAATGCTGATTTGACCACCACATGTAGATAAACATGAACAACTTCAAAACGAAGCGGATTTGAGATATTTGAATATAACAGCATTTTGATGTGAAAATTTAAATGCGGCTGATGTGGATGATTCCTTTGAACCTTTCTTTGAAATTTCTTTTTGATGACCCTCTGTTATGAATCACGAAGATATTTTGCAAACTTTTTCATTCAAAAAGTTTTCGCTGAGATTGATTTAAAATAAATTTTCAACATCGTTTTGTCAAGACTAAGAGAACAGAAGGCTCTTTAAACCAATGCTAGTCTTAAATTTATCACGGGGCTCTTGGTGACTGGTCTGTATCTTAAATCTTGGTCGTCAATTGACGTTGAATCAATTTTGCCAGATTTATGGTCAGATTTTCTCTTGCTTTCTAAGAAAAATTCATCTATTTGGAGATCACAGATTAAAGAGATATAAGTATTCTGAACCACAAAATTTGACATGCGCAGGGTTCATCATATTCATTTCAGTGCGAAACGAAAGTGACTTGTATGTCATCTTTAGAAGTTAGCTGCTGTGATTAGAAACAAAAAAAAAAAAAAATATAATAAACAGGCATATTTTCACAGCATACAAGATTTCAATATCTTAAATAACGTGAATATAAAAATCTGATCAGTACCAATGTATTTACAAATTCCTTATGATTAACAATTAAAAAATCTAAACATCCGTCCAGGAACGGGTAAAAGTGTTGGCAGAGACAGGAGAAAAAGAATAGATTTAAAAATTTAGAGCTGCTGGACTGGTTGGAAAGAAAAAAGATTGCTTTAAAATATAATTTTGTTCCTTTTTTTTGCCATTTGGAAACTTACGGACTGAAAAAATTTTAACCCTGATTCTTAAATTACCTGATATGACAAAAATCAACTCCAAATTTTCTTTTGTTCCTTTTTAATTTTTAAAGCCTATAGGTTCAAGTATCTACACTGTTTCATTACAAAATAAAAAGATGATTCGTACCCCAGAGTTGTTAGGTTAATTGTTTCTTCAATGTCAATGAGCGAAAACAAAATAACGAATTGTCATTGAAATTTAATCTCTTCCTCTTTCTCTCCTGCTCTGAAAAAACAGAGGGATAGAGACATTGCAAAAGAGAATCTTTTTTGCAACCGACCTCTATATCCTTCAAGCGATTATTGTTCTTAAGGTGCAGAGCTAAAGGTTTAAAATTATTTGAACTAAGTACGATAGTTCCTACTATAAAAATTCATCTGAAAGTTTATTCCTTTTGGCCTCTTGCTCGCCTTAAAACACCTCACACTCCCTGATTTAAGACCACAATTCTTACAAATAAGGCCTCCTTTATTTTTGACCTTATAAGCTCTTCATAAAAGTTATTGTCATGATGAAAGAGGATCAACATTAAGCACCTCCAAAGCTTGTGATGTTCGTTATACTAAAAGTTTTACTTATTTATTTACAAAAAACCCTGCTAAATACTTAAATGGAGGGACCTTAAAGTTCTTTAGACTAAGATGTAAACAAATAAGATTTCTTTGAAAGCTGAAAAACAGAGGCTAGAGTCAAAGTGAATAACCTCTAGTTTGAGGTTAGCTGTCCTCATCTGATATATCACAGCCTGCACAAAGCTAGCGACTCACAGATAGCTGGATAGCGTAATACTACACTTAACGGCCTCTTCAATTTTTGAAATTATATCATTTCTATGAATTCATGGCCTTGCAAATGTGGGAAACTTAAGCTGGATTGATATTGTTTGATCTCACTATTTCCATGATCATGGCAATCCCCAATCTTTAATATATGTAACATTATAAAGTTAGACTCAACTTTGGGCCTGTCACAGATCACTCACTCTTTTAATGTGTACAAATGAGATGCCATTGCAATTCAAAAGTTTCCCTCACAAAAATGCAAAATCCTGCAATATTTCTGGTCCCCGAGACCTTTCAACCAGCAATGAAAAATCCTTGGGTACAAACGAACAAATAAATTAGTATAACAAATTGGTAACAGATAAAAGGAACATGCTTGAGGAGAGATACATCAGATGTCTACTCTCCAGTCCAGCGGGTCATCCTTTGGGGCTGGTCAGCGGCACCACTTGTTATTTCTTGGGCGAAGAAATGGGAAAGCAGTTGTCGACAGTCTATAAGATTAAAAATGAAAAGTTAGCAGAGACGCAAATGATAATTTTGGAGAATGTTCATTTTAACCTTAACCCTTCCAATACCAAGTTAAAATGTGCTATGCACATCCCATAAACCAGGTTGAGAGAGAGAGGAGCTTTTGGAGCCAGCCCCCTTCAAACGCAACCAATGTCTGCATTCAATCAAAAATACGCTATGGTTTCAACTCGTATCTTCATGAGACCATGTCAATAATTTAAGTCGAAAAATGCGTTTCTCAGTTTACAACGATGTATGTCTCCTCTCATGTTTTATTGTTTTAAATGAAGCCCAGAGAAAAGTTTCTATTCAGATTTTCTGTGAATTTTCTTCACTTATTTAAAAAAATTCAAATAAAATTGTAAAGAAAAATGTTAATTAGTTTCCCTCAAGGGAAACGAAATATAATCTAAAAGTTTTAAATGTTGGAATTGATAGCATATTTTGCATTTAGCCATTGATACCTCAAATCTTATTCCATCCACACTGAGGAGTCCTGTAGCATACTTGGCAACAAAACATGTTGATTTGTGTACAGTAAGCGCAAAGTGGTAGACAAGTGGCTTCATTCCTGGTATTGAAAGGGCTTTTTTCCCAATTAGAATCATTTTCAGATGAAGTGATATTTTCAATGATTTATTGGTAGTGCAAATAAAATAATGGAGGGAATATTAGGTTGATGAATCGGATTACTCTTTGTAACAGGGTACTACTATCTCTGGCTCTTCCAGAGAAGCACCCATCTAAATCCGGAAACTCATGGCAGATACGTTGTTTCAAAAATGGGTCAGAAATAGTGTGCGATTCCTTTATTGCAAAATATAGTTCATTTGATGATCCCTGAACCAATTTTTTTGACACAGAGGCAACTGAATTGAATTTTTTATGCCTACTTAGGGTATCATCCGGTTAGAAATGCCTAGAGAGTCCAGGGCCCAGACTTTGTCAGCATTTTAAACAGAAATGCAATAGCCGTTGATGAGTCCAAGCCGTACCACTGGCCAATCAGAGGCACTTGGTTTGGACCTAAGTGTAGTCCGGACTTTAGGCACCTTGAGAGGGACTGACAAAATTCTGCCCCAGGGAAAATGCAGGAAATGTACAAATGAACAAGAATTTCTTACATTACATTAGTGAGTGGAAGGAGTTTTTCAGAGAGTTATACAATAAACAACTCTAAGTGTGCAAAATAATAAAAGATAGGAACGAAGTCCTTAGGGCAGCCATGTTGCAAGTGTTACTTCAGAGAGTTCAGTTACTAGCCGTAAAAATAAACTCAAAATATTTTGAATTTTTCTTTGAGCGGGTGTATTTAACTTATTTCAATACTGAGGAAAAATTCCAAAAATGTTTTTCAAAAACATTAGTAGATATCCTGTCATTAAATACAAAGTATCAGAAGTTAATTCTCATCCAAAGCAAGTAGCTGCAATCCTGCAGAACTTTCGCATTTTCTTGTCTCTTCCATTACACTGGAAGCACAGGGTAGCCACAGTCAAGAAAAACCAAGAAAACCGGAAAAAGTCAGAGAAGAAATGGATCAGTTAAAATCTGGAAAAAACTGTGTCGACAGAGATGCCAAATTTTCAAGTGTTGCATCATGCGCTTTGGCCTGTTTCCCGGCTGAATCAGAAAATCTTAAAAGAATCACTTTGATCAGCTCATGTTGTCCCAAAAGCCGGGAAATTTATTTCAATCAGTCGGGGAATCTAAATTATAAATTTCTGTGCATGCATGTTTCTTGGCATGTGTAAAATATTTTTGAGTATGGTTTGAAAATAGGAATTTTGTTTGAAGAAAAAGAGGCAAAGTTAGGCTAAGGTTAAAACAGAGGGTTTATGGAATGAAGGCTCAAAGTGTTATGTAGTCCAATTCATGAAGAGACATTCAGCAAACTTACATATAAAGTGCAAACTCAACGATAAAACATAAACGCTCGTAGAAACTAAATTCAAAACAATCCATTCAAACACGAATTCTTTCAATTTCAATATTTTTTTCGAGGACTAAAAACAATACAGACAGGTGAACTTAAGATTACAAGATACTACTTTATATCCATCATTCTTGGATGATAAACTTTGCAAGCATTTTACTCTCCTTAATTGAACATTATAGAGACCTTGTCCCCACAGGCAATCTTCGGGAGATCTATTGCAACCTTGAATCGTGTGAGATAAACTTCTTACATTTTTCACTGTTACTGTCTCCACAGGACAGGGCTCTCATCTTCTTAGGACATGCATACAATTAAACTTTAAACAAATTGTTTGAAATGTAGGTCAGACATAGAATAAAATTAAATTATTAGTAAAGCTGATCGAATGTGAGAAAAGCAAACAAACAATCAAGTGAAGAACAAAATGGCACACTATTTTTGCTTCTTCTGTTTCTCTCAGTCTTTCTGGAACAGCGATAAATCAAAGGAAAACGTCCTGTGGAGAAGAGGCTTATTCATCTAAATTAGCTTTTTTAAAATAACGCTGAAGGCGCAAAAAATTCTTCCAAACTGAACCAGCACATTAATCCCGTTTATGATTCCAGACTTTGGAATTCAAGTTAGAGCCTTAGGAGTCATCTTGGCGAATGACTGGCATTTCTAGAAACCCTTAGCTTTACTTATCTTTAAGGGGTTAAGATGAAAGTCGTACATTAGTTTTCAAACTGACTGACGCATGGCAGTGATACCATCACATTCAAACTTTTCTATCTAACCTGCTCTCCAGCAAAATCTCGGGTACTTCGGACCACTTCACTACTTTGGACTATACCTTTCACTTTTGCAAAGTAAATAGGGAAACATCTACTTTTGACTTGCAATTTTGAAGTCCCAAATTACGCAGAAATTCCAATTTCCTGAATGCTAAGCACACTAAGAAGGCAACAGCATAGTTTATCTTGAGTACTGCTCCAAGCATCACTTAGCAATTTTGTGTTTTCGCAAATAACAAAACAAGGGGATCTATACAGTACCATCTCAGGATTCTTTAGGGCAAATACCCTCAATTCAAAAAACTGAATCAACAATAATGGTTGCATTAGGATTCTGCGAGCTAATTAAATTTTTTCAGCTAATTCAGAAAACCAATCTAGCAATGAACATTATTGGTTCAAGTGACAGTGATATCGTAGCTTCACAAATTCACTTTGAAGTAAATTGAAAAAATTATTTGTTAAACAAAGTATTATGCAAAACAAATCATGGTTACAGATTGAGGATCAAGATTACGAATTAGGAGAATGCATTAACGCTAAGAACAACAAAACTTCAAAACAAATTACACACCGGGTCGCAAATAAGACAAGCTTACCTATTCACTCAGTACCGGCAACAGGGACCCATTGGAACAAAATAAAATTGCATTAAATTTATGTGGGAAAAATAAAACTTCAAAACTGAATGCCCTTCATTCACAATATCACTGACTCAAAAGATATCGGAAGTTTCATCACACAAAATTTGTGGTTTTTTTTCTTTAATCTTCTAAACCACATGTTTTGGTGTCTGATAAAGCGCAGCATCACCAAAGACATCCCGTCCCCCCATTCCTTAGTACGTTATATAATTTAAGGAGAGCCCCAGCCCTTAGTTTTAAGATAGTCTTTCCCTAAAATATTATATGTACTCCAGTTATTCGGTGTTTTTTTTTTTTTTTTTTTTTTTTGAGAGCGTAACTATTTTTGCCCATCAGATTTCTTACTCAAGGATGGTCCTAGAATCTAAAGGATTACCTATGCGCACAATACTAAGAAACCTGGCGGCTGCTAAATTTCAATGATTTTTGATATGATGTTCTAGATGGCCTTTTGAGCACAATAATCTTTTAAGATCAAAACTTTCTATGTGTCTATCTTGAGACAAGCAGAGCTTATAAGTAAATTTTTTAACATTTATAAATGCAATATCTGGTGGAGATGTTGCCACATCTTATTGGTAATTGAGGAAAATTCTTGTTTCTGCACAGGCCAAGAGGGCAACGCAGATGAAAAGAATCCAATTCCTCTGAGCAATGAGAGCGTGCAGCCGGAACTTTTCAACCCTATTTTTCTCAGGATTGCCGTAGAAAATTTGATTTTAAAATCTCATTGTGCTCAAAAGACCACGATGAACATCTTACCAAATAATATCGAAATTTGGCCAGCGCAGAATTTATGGGTACTTTGAGCGCAGTCCTTTTAAATGGATAAAAATAATACATTGCTGGATTCACTTGAGGGAAGTTATGATACCACTTTCCATTTTAAAATATGAACTACAAAAGCAGATGGCATAAAGCAGTGTTTAAACTCTAGGAAAACTTAGCCAAGGACAAAGCTTCATTTTAGATCTCCTCTTCCATATAAATACAATCAACTTCATGGTGATGCAATTTTTAGAGTAACATACTTAGCTACACCCAAACCCACTCCAACTATGGCATCTTTTCCTGGGAATGGATTGGGTAAGGCTTACTTTGGCAACTGATCGTTCAATTGAAGTATTCAGGAGGAGAACGAATAAAAAAATGATGGAGGACAGGTTACTGACCAGCAAACCTACCTCTTGAATCTAAGAAATGATGATCGTCGAGGAAGAGGCTTAGGAGTCCGATCGCTTGCGTGAAAAGGAGAAGAAGAAACTAAATAATATGCGCAGTGATCATTTGAAAACCCGGAACCTTCCCCAGTAAACAACTTGTCACTATTTTGAGCACTGCAAGATCATTTTGTGCACAGACAGAGAGCAGAGAGACACAGACAGACAGACAGAGCTATAGTTTGACAATTTCAGGTGATAAAGTTTGACTGAAAGAGATTTTATTCTGAAGTCTAGTCGCTACGAAGTCTGTTTCATTTTTTTCTTCTGCCTTAAATTTCTCTCAGTTATCACTTATCAATTTAAAGATGAAAATAACAGAAATACTTACAATTCCAAATTATGTAGAGATGAGTGAGGACAAGTGCGGTCAGTCTTAACATGACACTGTTTGTGGCATTTTAACCCACAGTCTCTACATTCATAACCTTGCTTGCCGATTCTTCTGGGAAGGAATTTATTACAAACTTCACATATCGTGCCACTGAAATAAGAGCGTGAAATATGTTACCATTCAACTTGATAAAATTACGATAGTACTATAAATGATAACCAATAGTAAACAAGGGCCAAATTGGGCATTAAAATCAACCTACAGTACTTACACATCAAGCAAATAACTAGGGCCCCGTTTTACGCACATTTTCTTCCTCTTCATTGTATTCTACGTAAAATCTTGATAAGGCAATTATATCAAGGTACTTGATTTTGTGACCTGTTTTGAAGTACTCTCTTCTTGTTTAATTATTCAACTTCTTTTTAATATATTAAGAGCAACATTTAAATGATGGAATAATCAAGGTCCCTTTAATCTTTTCGGAAAAAAAGTCTTTCATTATGAAGTATACCAAAATTTGTTTAGTGCTTCATTTGATTCCAGTAGACTCTGGTTTAGTTTTGAGCATAGAGTGAATTTTCTTAGACAAAACCCACTATTTTCCGAACTTATGCGTTGAATTTGGAATGTTTAGTGCATCCATGGTATTCTATGTGAAATTTCAATGAGGAAATTATAACATGCCGTTTGATTTTGTTCCCTGTTTTGCAGTCCTTCCTTTTTGTTTGATTATTAAATTTCTTTTGAATAAGTGCTAATGATGTAATCATCAATAGGACCCAAGATCATCAGAAAATGATATTACAAAGGATCATTAAGTACCAATGCTTACCTCGGTAAATGTTTTGCTACGAAAGTATGGTCATTGAAGATATGGAGTTTGGTGCCTTTTTTCCTCCATCTACCCCTGTGTGCGATAGATATAGGTACCATGTAATGTCTGGAAAATAAAGGAAGATGAATGGCGTTAACAGAAATGTATCACGATGTGAGGAACTGAGAGAGTAAATTACTTTTAAGAATCAGATATTGCTGATATTTTTCAAAAAAGATCATGATTATGAGACCAACTCTTCTCTCTTAAAATTATGATTACAAAGAAAGGAATTCCTCCTAAATGGAATATTAATAGCTAAAGCGTAACTCAGATTGCAACATTGTAAGTCTCTGCTCATATTTTATTTTATTTAAAGAACACTAGTTAACAGTTTCTACTAAAGTAAGTAGCTAAGACCCTCCGTTATGACCTCAACTTTGAGAGCTTTTTATGAGCTTTGTAGTTCGTTTCAGAGAGAATCTGTCACATCATTGTGTTCCTCGGAAAATTGTATAAAAGGAAAAGTACTTCAATTTCAAATTTAGAGGCATGTAAGAGCTCAATTTCACCACAGAAATATTTGAATAACTTGGACCTACTTTTTTTCTCCATTTTCGAGGGTTTCTAAGACGAGTGTGGATGCTTCATTAACATAGGTCCGTTGAGAGGCACCACTAATCCCTGATGCTTCACTAAAACTAGATCGAGCTGAGCCGTCTCGTTGTAAAGGTGGTACTAAGAGGTATCCTAAAAAAAGAAGCCTTGGTTAAAACTTTGAATGCACAATGTTGAAGCACAGGTACTTTTTAACTTGAAAATCGTACCTAAAATTTAAGTTCTGTTAGTCAAAAGTATTTAGGTTTTAAAGTCGAATTAAAGGTTGTGTACTTCACTTAAACAAATGAATGAAAGAAAAGTAAAAAAAGATAGATGGTATGAAGCTTTTTCACCTTTGACTTGAAGTTGACTTTAAATGAGTCAGAAAAATTTAATTTATCGTACAGTTATTCTGCGTCTTTGTCATACCAGTAGTGTACAGAAAAGCCCATAATAATGATACACAATCAAGTCGTCTGAAACCTTAAGTCCTAGAGGTGAAGTTAACAATATTTCCAGGGAGAGCAAAATTTTTCAACCGTTTCATTATTTCTTAGCTGCAGTTTTCGGAACAGCAATTTTTTCTACTGCAAATTTTTTCACACAAAGAAATAAGGCCAACTTAGAGCAGGAGACTAAAATTGAATGTATTTTGTGCTGTTATGCAAAAAAAAATAAAATTGAATTCGATTAGCACCGAGGGAAATCGTGTTCCGAGAACTGTGTGAGAAAACAGTAGATTTTTCAAATCTCAATGTCTGGGAAGGAAATTTCAGTAGAGTTTGGACAGATTTAACCCAATTCACAAGGCCCAATTTCAGTTCATGTTTTATTTTTGGCAGAAAGCTTAACAAAATATCGCCTTGAAATGGATTTCCCTTCGATTGTACAGAATATACACACAAAATTTCATGTCGCTTCGTTTATGGATTAAAACACAAGAGGAAATTAGGAAACATCTGATGTAGTTATGTGAATTCAAGTTAAATTTATTTGATGTTGAGTTTTCACTGATGCTAAAATGCAAAGCAAATACACGAACTTCATGGATAGTTTTCACTAATGTTCAGTACAGTGAGATGAAAAATGTATAAACATTCCCAAAGATTACGATATATGCACTCTATTTGCAGAATAGGGATACTTTCCATTACTGGAAAAAAATCTATTCAATTTCAAATGACATTACAATCAGGAAAAATTTACAGTAAAAAGGAAGTCATACAGTGTGATGGGTGAGCAGCAGAGGTGCAGAAAATTCTTACACTCTGAACTCAAGAGTAGTGTTTTTACACTACTCTCGAGTCATGCACTCACATGTGTGTACTCTACACTCCTTTTGGAGTCATGATTAATTGAATCAGAGGGTGTGAAAAAGCACTTCTCAGATATCTTAGAAAAACGTAAGGTATTAATTTTTAACAAATCTGACTCAAAATATGAAGGACTGTTACAAATGATGAGGAAGTATCTGAGAATGTGTCCATTTTACATCAAAAGTAGTAATCAAAGAAGAAAAATATCTTAATGAAGAATAAACATGGCCACAAAGGAGGTAGTGAAATCTAAGAGTACTAATTCTTTGAAGCTATAACTTCATTCTCATGACAAAGTTTCTGGTGAACTTAGAAATAGATAACTTAGGAAATAAACATTATTAGATTGCCAATTGCGCTAAGCGATTTTAATAATTTTGGAGTGGTAATAAGAGTTTTCTGCATCACTGTAAGAGAACCTTTAAATAGGGATCAAACTTACCGAAATATTTAGGAAAGAATTAATTTGGCAGGAATCAACAATAGGAGGCATCACGCAGGAAGAATAATTAAACCAAAAACAAAAGATTACAACATCTATTAGCACAAAAGTTACGAAAAAAGTATAGAAAACATAATAGGGTGAGAAGGTGGTGAAAATTAATAAAGATAAATGTTATGAGATCAAACTATAAAGTGATTAAATGAGATTATAGAATTGCAATTGAATTCAATTATAGGTAACTGAGGTCGATCAAGTGTTGAGGGTATAACCATCATATTAAGAGTGCTACATGAAAGGGAGAAGTAAAGATTATAAAATGAGGTTCTATGCAAATCCCTTAGGTATGTAAATAACGGAGCAATTATTTTAGGCTGTTAGTTTTGAATGGAACAAGAGCAAAAATGACAAGAATCTGTAATTAATGATCCTTGTTGAAATTTACAATGTACAGGACAGTATTCAATGATGCCTCTGCTTCAATACACCTAATTATATACATTCCTAAGGAGAAGAGGGTCAAGGTCCTAGGGGAGGGTGGCTAAGAGGTGCCCCTTACGTACCTGACAATGGAAGGGAAGTCGAACCTGACAGGTTAAAATTAGCATAACCCATTTATAGGAGACTTTCAACAAAAAATTGTGTGAAGTACTAATTTTTTTTACCCAGAACTAGTGTAATTATTAAGCCTCTGTGATCAACTGTCAGGAGGGAACTGAAAAAAGTACTATCGAGGTCTGATTGAATGCTGAGCTAGGCCTGATATTGACCTTAAAGCTTGCTAAGTTTAATTAGACCAGACCTCACATCATAATCAGTACTAATTTCATTCTTCTCCAACAAAAAGTAAAACACTTCTTCACAGACCCCTTAGCTTTACAGCATTCTGTATCACATTTTATTACGAAAAATTTAAAAATAAAAATTAATTACAACCTGAGAAGTGAGGACCCACAAAAAGTTAAGGGGGGTTCATCAGTACTTAACAGGTACTTGAAATTGATGAGGGGGAAGGAGAAGGGGTCAAAAAATTGAGAGAAAAAAACCCTGACATCAACTATGAACAGACATTGAGAGAGAGGTTTTCGTATTGATCATTATTGTAAACACTTTCATATTTTCTAATGATGTTCAACAGAGTATTTTACTTCTTTCAATGCAAATGAGAGAGTATGTCTGCCATGAAATGATTCTATAACTATAAAATTTTGTTGCATTTTGGGGCAAATTAAAAACACCACATTATTGTTCCACTTTCCCTGACGCCAAACAAAAATTCAAGGTATACTGAGGAGACACAAAAAAGAATCAGATGTAAGAATTGCGTTCAACGCAAACTTCCTTCAAATGCTCGCAAATTTCCTGGTGTTACACGTCAGTTATGCTCTTTTTTTCAGAGTAGATTCTCTTTGAGAAATATTGATCCTTGGAATTTTTTAAGAAATTCTCTTGCACTTCAGCGTACATTTTTAGCAAGTTATAAGCAACTGATCATAGACTGATTTGAATTACATCCAAATTAGAAACAACTGAGGTCATTGTTTGAACATGCATGATTAGATTGAGAATTTTATTACAAATGTTAGAACAATGAAATAATTATAGTAGAACAAACCTAATGAGTGAACAGAAGGGTCCCGTGATCTGTCGGCAGACGCAGACCGACTGAATCCAGTATCACTTAACCCTGATTCTTCAGTTTGTTCAGCACCTGGGTCTACTGACTTTGATCTTCCTTTTGATCGGTTAAGACGTCGCCTGATAGTTCCAAAGAAATCTCTTCTCCGCCTTGTGCGGCCTCTTTCAGCTGTAATGTTGAAAGAACACATAACAGTTAAATTTAAAAAATGTTCCTGCTGTAATTCAAATGTAAAAATAGGAAATCCTTTCTCCAACTGACTTTTCACCCTTCTTTGGGTAGCCCCCTCACTTGGGGATCCAAGTTTCCTTGCAATGGAGAAAAAGAATTCCTGGGAGCATTCTCAAAAGACCCGCAAAGAGTAATTTGATACTTTGCAAGTCTGCATGTGTATCTTACTCTATCTAACTTTTTCAGGAAAGTAGATCGATAATAAGAGTGGGTGCTTTGTGACTTACACCAGTGATAAATGTATCATTTGGAACGTTATCACATGAGCTTTTGTTCTGAATCAAAGTGTAAGTGTCGATTTAAGAATAGCTAAGGATAAAAATTTCAAGTTATGGAGATTCGAAATTATATTTTTTAGGAATATTTGCACTTATTATCATGAAAACCCCCTGACAAAGCATGCAACTGCTCTGTGCTTTTTTGCCTCTTCGGATATATCTGTGCAACACATTGCCTTATTATAAAAAGAGAGCCGTTCCTGCTATCTCCTCAGCGATTTTTTAAAAAGAAATTAATCCTCTGGATTTTGGCTTTTTTCACGGGTACAAATGATCCTCATAATACGAACTGAAAAAATCACTAACTCTCTGTATGAATCCTCAAAAAATTATGGATTATTTTTTGTCGAGAGCTGGCAGATGTGCTGCAATGCAGTTTAGCGATGGTCAGATGATACAATATCTGATGAAACGTTGGATGAAAAAAGTTAAGTTATGATGAATAAATATGAGAAAATTTCAAGTTAGAGTCAATCCATTCTAACCTTCAGGGCTTGAAGCTTGTTGAATCGCCGTGCTAATGTCTGTCCCACTGCCATTCACTGTTGGTTTGCCTTCCTGCCCAATGACCTGTGCTGAAGGAGATGGCTCCATTCCTGACTGTAAAAATAACCACCTTATGAATTCAAGTTTTAGCTGATAGTGCGTACTTACTCTCTTGCCAAGTAAGTTTGACTTGATATCATCAATACCTTCGATTTTTTCTCAATGCTTGTAAAAAGGGGTATGAGTTGGTTTTCTTCCCAGAGGAAGGAATGTAACTCCATTGCAAGGCAGAAAACGTAAAAACGGAGTTAAGTACATAGTCAGTTTTATGTAATCTAGGCAATCACCCATTGGAACATTTCTTCATGGATTTTATCATTACCCAGCTATTTTTTATTATTATTAAATCACGGCATCCGCAAATGCAGTTGAAAAACTTTCCGCCACAAAAATGACACCAATCTAAGTGGCAATAGAGCATGTAGCCAACAGGAGCTCCGCACTTACTATGGCTACATCTCTCAAAAAACGAAAAAATAGAGAAGCTTTGGTTTTTGATTCAAAGAGAGCGCAGAGAGACCAGTTTCAGACTCATTGGCAATCATCAGTCCTGTGTATCTCTTTCCACATCATGGCTAAAAGCACCACCCTCCGGCTATGATTCCAAAAGAGAGTGTAGAGTTAGAGACTGAACATTGATTTACAACTAGCAAATTTATGTAGAACATGCTTCTGCGCCATGCACAATTTTCGAAAATATTTACAAACAACACAGCTTGCTCTAACAAAGATACACATCCATGCTATTGAGATCTTGTTGTCTCCTCTCATATTTACTTAATTGCTTGAAGTTGCTTCCATGTCTGTGCAAGATCACTCAATTTTCTCTTAAGGCAAAAAATCGATGGAAAACTTAACAGAATTGAAAAAGTAACATTCACATGGATGATTATCAATTTCAATCCTCTTCTTCTTTTTCTTGTATTATCGTGACTTTTAAAGATTGAAGATCTGACCTCCATTGAAACTTTTAAAATATGCTCTATTGTTGAGCTCCTTAGTTGTAATAGAAAATGAATTGCAGAATCTTATTTTTCATCGATTTCAAGTCTTTCATAAAGTTTATTAGATAAAAAATGGTTAGAATGGTTTTACTACACATAAAAAAATAAGTACCCTAGGCACATTGCAAAAAAAAAAAAAAAAATGAAATAAGTAAAATAGGTAGCAATTTCTTTTACCATGAAATTGTAATATGTTTACATAATTCGGGTAAAATATGCTAATTTTAAATCAATAGTAAAATAAGTTCCATGCGTTAGGAAGGTAAGCATTTCGCAATGCACGGAATGGACACTTATTTCAATTTTATCGCAATTAATTTCAATAAGAAGAACCGTTTCTAATGGAAGAAGGCAATATGCACAATGCTCTGGTTCAGTAGCAATCATTTTACCATGTAATTGCAATTCATTGCAACCTATACTACTTGGGCAGTCTAGCTAAAAAAAAAGCATAGCATTAAAATTGAATTACTAAATGGCTCAATTTGAAAGCTTTTGGGAGATGGGAGCAAATTAGTAAGTAAAGCATTAGTCGAATCAATGGGAAAGCTATGAAAGGACCATGCATAGATATCAGTTTCAGGCAAGATGCAGATGAAAAATTCCTGACAGATTTACAATTGATGTTTGAAAAGAAAATAGTGTAGGAAAGAAATTTTATAGCTAGGACTAAAAAATTACAGATGAATACTCCTCACCACATGACTGAGACCATCCACCGGCAAAAGGGCCTCAGAGGGTGTAGAGAATTAATAAAAAGAGTGATTTCCATTAATTTTGATAGAAAATTTGGTCTCCTATATTCTACGTGAAAGTAACTCCCTTTTTTCTATGGAGCGAATTCTCTTTATTCCACAGAATAATTTGCAAGTGATTTGGTTCATTTTTAGAACAATACAGCATGTAAAACTGCGCTTGAATCTTAAGTTGTTGAGCCCTGAATTTGGCAGATGAAATTATTCTTTCTGAAACTACTTTTTGAATTGCGAAAGTCAAACAGTCATATCTTTAGTTAAAATTTGACATTATTTGGTGCATTAAGTATTGACCTGAAATGCTTGTAAAATGACCAACGGTAACGTAGTCTGAATTTTGCATTTTTTGGCACTGACATTTCTTTAACAGTGAACGGTCTCTAAAATGCAATGTATTAGTCATTAGGCATGCTGCAAATTTACTCTTCACCACAAATAAAAGGTATTTGAGTAAATTAGAAACTATTCAGAATAAATATGAAAAAATGGGTAGGTAAAACAAGGCTAAAATATTAAGACTTTTAAAGACAGCATGTTTCGAGTCGTTGCAAGCTTATTTTCAGCGACAAAAATAATTAAAATTAAAGGGAAATTATCCGGTGACCTAATGCTAGTTGTTATGATACAACCACAGAGTGGTGGTATCAAGTCACCACTCAATTTTTATTAAATTTGATTGTTGTTGCAGCTAAAAATGAGCCTGTGACGACTCAAAACGTCTTGCGTTTTCAGTGTTTTAATATTGGAGCCTTGCGTTACCCATTTTTTCATTTTTTCTTCTGTCGTGTTCATATTTTTGGGGTACGTAATTTGTGCATACCTAAAAGTAAACAAGAACGATGCGTAGAATAAACTGTATCCTAAACGTTCACTAATGTGCCAACTACCAAGGAACTTTACAAAGACTCAATAGCCATCCACCGATACTAATATCCAGCCACCCTGACATTACACATTGACAGAACTTCATTAAAATTGTTACCGGTTCTACTTTCGAGTCAGTAGAGCATGTTTCAATTTTACTGTCTGACTCGGCCAGCTCTATCCATTCGCCTTTCTCGTTTTTCTTCACCTGGAGCCAAGAAAAACTGTTTATTTTCTTTTTTGAACAGCAAATTTAGACAGAGAGAACGATGCAAAAATAAGTGGGGATTTTAAAAAAATTCATAAGTACAAAGAAACCAATTATGTACTTAATTAGCGTTAGAATCGACTAAAATGAGGTATTAAAAATTCTGTTTAATGTAAAGAGAAATTTGCGTTAGTCACTTCACATTACTTAATTGAATCATCTTGAAAAACTTTGTTTACCTCCTCATCTCCTAAAAACTATAGAGATGGTGTTGAGAGTCCCTATCTATCAGAATGAAGTATTGTAGAGCATCAGTTATTCTAGGATGCACCCTTAATTTGATTCGGGGATGAAATTTTGAGGGAAATGGAAGGAGGTAAATTTAAGATTATTGCGGACAAATTACTGCTGACATCAATGGTCATACAAATCCTAGGATTGCGTTAGGAAGCTACAGTAGCAGAAGTTAAACAAAACCCAGAACTAACTAAATCAAGAGGTAAAAATTCAGAGAGCTACAAGCCTAAATACAAGATAAAATTGGGGTGAGAGAACTCGGGTTGCTGTCACTCACAAAAGAAGAAAATAAACCAAAGAGAAAAATTTGTGGGTTTCATGCTAAAACCATCGTACCTGAATGTAGTGAGGTGGTAATTGCTGATGAAAGGTTGCATTCCGGAGGCAAGACAAAAAATCAGGCGGGAGCAATGAAACACAGGGAAAAAAATGCATCAAACATCAACGATTTTCTCAAAATGGTGCTTAAGACCACTGCTAGTTCTGTTCCTTTACAACTTAAATCACCTAACTTTGACATCCTTGAGGGGGAACCACTTAAGAATGTAAATGTTTTCGACATATTCATATTCTCTAGCTATTATGATACTCATTATAACGAAAATCTCTCTTTTGCGAAGGAATCGCCCGGTCCCTTGCCGGTTTTTATAGCGAGAGAGTAGTGTATTTCTGAATTGAACCTCTAAAAAAAATGTGATTTTCATAAGGATGACAATTTTTGGATAATTTAAAAGGTTTTCTCACTGAGCAAAAAAATCATTTCAAATATAAAACATAATGTCCTCAAAATCAGGAGAGGAGTCAAACAAGGATTATCAAATATTTCCAAAGGACTTAATCAAAAATCGGCCATCATAGTGACAAAAATTCAAATTTTGTGAACTTTTCAACCTTAAAAAATATTTTTAAGGTTGATAAAGAACCTCTTTCTGTCAAAATCAGGCAAGGTTGCTGCAAACCAAATCAACTTTGGAAAATCACTTCTCTCTGCTCCAAATTATTTTTCTGTCATAAACTTGGACTTGTTTTAAAGCTTAGACAGTCTACCTTAATGTACGTTTGGTTTTGCTCTTCTTCATGTGATCAATAATCTGCCATACTCAAAAATCTATAAAATTGAAAATTTGAGCCGTGATAACGCTTGAAAGTAGGTTTGGTTTTCAACATTGATCAATTTAATTCATATTGATATTCTTTTCCAAGGTTCCAATGGACAAAGATAATTTACTTTAGCTTGTGCAGAAGCTAAGAAAGTGGTTCTCAGATAGTTTACACCGACTATCTCTAATCGAAACAATTTAGGATGAATAAACTGGCCATCAAAACAATCCTCGTAGTTCAAAAATACATTTTTTAAAAAAATGGAGAAAATCAAAGACAAAATTACTTAAAGTCCAAAAGCACACTTTAGGACATAAAATTTTGGGGAGTAAAAACAAGGGAAATGTCTACAATAAAGGTGCATTAAAATGGAAAAACTTACCCTCTGAACGCTATGAATTATGAGGGTGCTTTTGCTCGGTCCAGTATTGTTCTGTTGGTTTATCCTATTTCGCATTCCTATGTCTTTTAGAGCTGACTCTGTCACCCCATTTGACAGGTGATCTATAAAAGAAATGGTCAAATTAATTAATTTTTTTCTATTACCTTTTTCGGTTCCTGACAAAAAAATATTTCATGATACAGTAGAATTAGCTTTCTTGGAGAGAAGAGAGGAGGGGTTTCATTGCAAGATTAAAATTTTTGATTCTGCTTACCATGGTTAGAACTTTGGTACACGGTTTTTGTTGTTGTGGTCATTTTACCCATGGAAGACACTGAGTTGAGAGTTTCTTTCAACTTGTACGGTTGAGCATTGGGGAGTGGTATTTCAGATCCCTCTGTGAAATTAAACTGAAAATTAAAGAAAATTAAATATCAGAAAAACAAAATCTCATGCTTCATTCACTACAACTGTGATGAATCTAGAACATTTTGAACTTTCCTCATTGTGCATAGTAAAATATTGTTCATTAAATGATGTGCTAGTAAAGTACATGCTATAACCATGACAACTTCAGAGATACACACACAGTATAAATAAGTTTATAACTGATTCAAAAGAGAGGTACTAAACCTGCAAAATCACAATGTTTTTTTCTGAGCCAATGGTGCTGAGGGAACACCATTTTCCATGTAGCTACCAACGAAGTGATCTGTTGGCTTTGGGCCTTGATCTTGAAACTAGCAGCCCTGCTCTTAGCATGCAATAAGTTAATTAAACAGCTCTGACTAAAAACTGACTCTTCGAGGCTAATTTTAATTATGTGATTGGTGTAGTAATTACCTCGACAGTTAAAGTCCCTGAAATTTTATCATCTTGATACGGTCTCGATTGGAGGGAAATTGTTTGCCTTTGAGCGGGGCTGATGAGCAATTCTTCCATTCCAACAATTCCCAAACCAAGGAATTTATCGTCAGTTCCACTTTTTGATCGACTGTAAATTTCGAATAGTAGTTCTGCAGTGCGGGGATTGATCTCACTGGAAAAAAATTTAAAGGATAAAATATGAAAATGATAAAAGGAGAGTATTTTGGAAGCATTTGAACTTTGTGAAAAGTTGTAAGACCCAACTTCCCTGAAGTCCCCATTCCTTCATCCGGCAGGAGATTCGGCACCTTCTTTCTACAGCTCTGGTACTCTTATTCTAGGCGCAGGAAAATATTTCTGCCTCTAGTATGTAGGGGCAGCCTTGTTGAGTCATTCCCTCTATTAGAAACATCCTGATATCCTTTCTACTGAATTTATTGATTCATTCAAAATAAGTCTATTTGAGTTAAAATCACAAGAATATATTGTGATGTAGAGGTACCTATGTATATATGAGGACTTATCTAAAACAATAGCGGATGTGAAAAATTACCTTCTCAAAACACGCTTAAAAAACTGTTTTGTTCGCACAAAAATTTAATATGTTTGGCTCTGGCATAATGTACAGATCTCGAAGATCACATCTCAAGTATTTTCTCAAAATTTTCTCGATGCCAAAGCAGTTTTTTGAATGTGTTTCAAAAAGGTAATTTTCCACATCCGCTATTGTTACAGATAAGTCCTCATATGCCGATCGTTCAATTACTGTTACATTACTAAGAATTTCAAAGACTTTTAAATTTCATTTTTATGCAGTTACAAATTGTGAAAAACCCACTAAGTACCTATAAAGTTACAGGAAACTTGGACCAAATCATGACAGATTCACTGTGTTTAGCTCTGTGGATGAAAACTGTTGAGTTTCGTGAATTCAAGTATTTGAAAAGGTACTCACAATAGAAAGTGCTCATCCCATTGAGGACTATTGGTTTCTTTCTTGATAGCAGTTTGATTTTTCTGAGGAGGCTCATCCATTTCAATGACGCAGTAAGTATCTGTAGTACCTGTGTAATTATTTAGGAAAAAATGAGAGGAAATGTAAATCAGTTGATTATTGGAGACATATTTAGCTGCAAAGGCTATTCATGTAAAAAAAAAAAGTTGAACTATCGGAAATTACTTAAAGTTTGAACCTGATGTCGTAGGGTACTAGGCTAATTTTGGAGGAAAAATTCACTTACTTTTCCAGATTTCTAAAATCAAATTCAAAATTTCCCCTGACTTCTTTTGGAAAAATCTTATTAAGTTACCCTGCATTAGATGTAGAAAGTACTTTTTAAAATTTTTACAGATAGTTCTGAGAATTTCCGAGCTTTGTATTTAGCAGTAGTAGTGGAAAATTTAAGTATATGAAAATTGAAAAATCAGACAGTAGAGTCATCTTTTTTTGGTTCTACGTTTTTGAAAAAAATCCATGAATCTTTGATAGCCACTGCAAAGGCTTTAAAATTTTGTCTTCCTTGGCATCTGGGGCTTTTGCAAAAACAGCTCTAACATACTTGACTCTAATTCCAGCTGGATATAAACAAGAAGAAAAGAAAGGAGAGAAAAAATTACCTGCTGGGAGGCTGAGGTTTTGTGCCTTAACAACTTTGACAAGGAGCTTTCTGTCTCCTGACTTTGAAACAGGAGGTGGCTGAGGATATTTTGAAGACAACAACTGAAAAAACAACGATTATTGTAAATATATTTGAAAGACGGAATAATTATAGAGAGCTATTCTCGAGGCTGAAACTATACAAGCTGTTTGTCCAGAAGAGCAATTTGGTAAATTCTATCTAACACATTACTTTTTTCAAGAAAACGAATCAGTTTCACCTTTCTTAATTTTCTTTAAAGAGCAAAGAGTACTGACTGACTGAGTACAGAATGACTGATTTTACCTGAATTTTCGAGGGTTGTAATGAGTATCTCGAAGATATTCAGCAAATGGTGTATTCAAAATAACAAAGAAGAAGTTGCAAGTTTTGACATGCTTAAAGATCTCCGATCATTTTTTTGTTTGACTAAGAGAAGAATGGAACAATTCATCAAAGAAATGATTACAATTTTCCGATGGGCTTAAACTGCATGAAGAGGAAGGTTACGCTTCAAAAATGGAGGCAATACTTGTGAAGTCAAACGCCCGTATCCTAAAAACCACAGGCTAGACTACAAGACTTACAGTGCACAGCGAATCACATAGCCGAACTATTGAAGGCGTTTCAAAGTTTAGGAGCATGTTGACAGGAGTGAAGAGCCACAGCCGCAGCTCTGCTTCTCACGAGCAGGGTTACACGTTTCCATGAAAAATCAAATCATGAAATTTCGTGTGAAATATTTCATGAAATTTCAGGAAAAATGAAAGATATTGGCAACAAATTTTCAAAATCCAATTCAAAATTAAATGAAAGGAAAATGGTTTCTGCTTTTTGGTATTTTTTAGAGCGTGTCGCATGCCCAGCTCCTGAAAATATGCTTCAAATTTTCCATATTTGTCACAACTTTGTGTAATTTCGTGGATTACTGCACGGACATTTCATGGAATATTACACAGAAATTTCCAATTTTTAATCTTTCATATTATTCATTTCACTTGTGCCGCCCTGCTCATGAGCAGCCAGTAGAAAACCGGCGCGCAATGATCTTTCCATAAATTCAAGAATTTATCAGCGTAATTGGACTGCATTTTGTAATTTGGAACTATACATGCTGGCTCTTCTGGAAAAACACTTATGTGCATAGGGAAACAAATGACACATATGTTGTTTTTAAACCGGGCTAGAATTTATGGTTCCAAATTGCAAAATGTAGTCCTATTAGTGGGTGTTCTTCGTGCCGAATGACACAGATAGCCTCTCTAAGCGATGGTATGGTTATTTCATTTTGATTTTTTCATCCAAGGGGTTGTTTTGCGATTCCGTCGTAAATAAGAATGAAGTTAGAAAACCAACGGAGAAACAACGACTAAAGGAGCCTGAGCGTATTTTTCGAGCAGAGCTGCCGTACTAAGGAAGAACGCCGTATGAACATTCGAAAGTTGCCAAATTTCCTGGAATAAAATGTTTGTTTCAAGGAAAGTTACGAATATTTTTCTTTGAAATTTTCAGGGATTTCAGGTAAAACTGCGAACAAACTTATCTGAAAAATTGGAAGGAAAATATTCATTAGTTTACGAGAAAATTCGTGTTCCATCAGAGGGAATTTGGCAACGCTTGAAGGTTTATACGGCGTTCTTCCTCAGCACGGCAGAGTAGGATATAGGGGGGTTTTTCGAGTGTGCTTACCAAGCTGTCGTAGTGAACAGGGAGTACCGGCGGCTGCTCGGGGAGGTAGCGGCTGAAGCGAGGGCAGTTAGGGAACTGCCCCAAGTTGAGATTTAGTTGGGTGCTCCGCACGGCATTTGTCAAGATCTCGATCACCACATCTTGGAGCTGAGATTCGTCCAATTTGTTGTTTTTTATGCTTCCCACCGGGGCCAGACCTATTTTGATCTGCAACACATTAAATTACATTTTTTTTTTACCAAACAGCTCAAGTGCAGAAAGGAGGCAAAGAGAAAACGAGAGCCAAAACTGGAATTACGAGTTGAGTTGGCACCACCACTTGGACCGCACTAAACAGAAAGAGACTAACGATAAGTCGTACCAGCTGTTGCCAAATTTCATTAGATAATTGATTTTTACAGGAGGACGGTAATAAAAATCCTTTTGAAAATGTCAAGGGAGCTCCTTTTGTGACGAGAGGCAAATTACCAGACATTTTCAAAAGAATCCGTACAACCGAAGGGTCTTCTCCTGGAGAATAAATTGTTCGATGAAACTTGTCAATAACTGGCTCAACGCGGTCCATGACGCAATGAGACGGTCCTCCCAATTTTCAGATCGGCTGGTGCCCACATTGTTAGCCTTTACGAGAAATAACATGGGGTTTTTCTCGCGATGAAAGAACTCTAAGACGAAGAAAAATTTGTAAAGTCGGAAACTTCAAAAATATCGATTTTCGGAATATTTTAGAGAGAATGTGAACCCGTTTTCTCAAAATCCTTCGTTCAACTTTTGACAGTCTTTTTTCTGTTCTAACTTATAATGAATATTACGCTGTAATCGTATAAAGATACACCTGAGTACACGTGTTTTTCGTTTTCATATGGAGTGCAGCGCAGGCTGCTAGCGACATGCAGCACTCGTGTTGGACACATTTTTTGCGTAAGCCCTGTCAACACTACTAGCAAAAGTTCACGGAACTTCGCGCGAAAGTTCAGTTCCGTAAACCTATCTCTGTGGGGACAAGGCCTTTCATTTGTAAGAAATGAACTAAAAAATTAAGAAAGAACAAACATAATGTGGTTTAATAATTTTAACTTCCGCCGCCGTTCTGCGCTGACCACACTGTGTTTGGCGCAATGCGTGAAGTATTCATGTAGTCTTGTAGGCACTGTGCGTTTCCCGCCGCGCCGCGCCGACCGCTGTTGACCGTACTGCGTTTGACGCAATGCGTGAAGTATTCATGTAGTCTTGTAGGCACTGTGCGTTTCCCGCCGCGCCGCGCCGACCGCTGTTGACCGTACTGCGTTTGACGCAATGCGTGAAGTATTCATGCAGTCTCGTAGGCGCTAGTATGTGTTACATGCCGACCGCCGCACGGTGGATCGAGTCAATGGTAGAGGCCGGTCATGGGCCAAAAAAAAAAAGTCGGATTTTAAATATTTTTTCTTGGTTTTCTAGTAGTTAAGCTTCCAAAATGAATGTATCCATGGTTCAAGGGTCTTTGAATCCTTCCGCTTTGACATGCGGGTTGCCTAAAGCTGACATTGCAGGTGGTATCAAATTTGCCGTCTGATTCTCAAGGTTTTATTTCGCTTTTGCATGAGTTCTGTGGCAGATGAATCAAAATTTCAATTAAACATGCTTATTCTCCTCCCTTTAAGGAACATTTTGGTATATCATTAATGT